AGTATCGGCGGAAGACCTAAATAACCCTTGTTCATAAATTTGCAACAGAAAACAGAAAAACAAAATTCAAGTGAAATTTCGTCAAAATTTAGGACCAAAGCTTCGCAATCCAAAATCAAATAAATGAAATTAGACTGGCGCTGAATAGATAGTTTAACACTGAAAGTAATTAATTTTTCATAAACAGCCCGCTTAACACAAAAACTGCAAAAACAGAGCACTACGAGTATCTTAACTCATTTTTATAAACTGTTATAAGCTATTAATTTCATTTCAAAATCAGTTTTATTGCTACAGGTTTTTGCAGAAGAACAACCGGGATAAGAATTTAAATGTTTTTCAAGTTTTCAATGGTCAGACGTTTTCGCTTATTGTGAAAGTTTCAAAAACTTAATCCATTGACATGACTGCTTGAAACCGAAGTTAATTGAGTGTTGGGAAAACAAAAAGTACAAAACAAAGTTTAAATTCAGTTCAAGCTGAAACAGCAGCATCCTGGAAATTAAGAATTAAACAAAGATTGTCTTTTGTTGTCCAAATAGCACAGAAAGCTCCAATCGCACTGTTTAAAAAACCAAGATCAAAAAGAAAGAAAAAAACTTAGAGATTCAGGTCATTTTTCTTAAGAGTTCTATATTTTTTTCCTGGAGAAGTGGACTAATCAGAAGAAGTTTTGCTGAAAATCAGAGGCAATAATAATTAAAATAGACAACACAGGCTGAAAATAAACACCCTTGTGTCGAATGGATAAACCTTGATGAAAAATTATTTAGTCTTGTTGTGAAAAATCATAATTTTTCCTCTCAAAATATACGTAAACAGGTTTTACTCGCCTTCTTTGGATGCCGAAAACAAGTGGGCCAGTGCTTTCGAAAAAAGGATCTTTCAAATGCTAGTTTTTTGACATTAAAAACAAATCCAGACTGAGCAAAAAATCATTTTTTGACACTGATGTTGTTCAGTTAAAAGTAATTTTTTAAATTATCGTTTTCTTTGACAGATATTTACATTGAAAACAGCAAAAAAATGAAGAATAAAAACAGGGTCACGAAATGTAAAAAATAGTACCAATTCGAAGTTATTAAAAGTTAATGTTTTTAAGCTCCATTAGCTCGCCTGAAAAAAATCAACGTAAGATACATTGATTGAGCTGTTGCAGTGTAGAGATTTTCCTGTAAATTTGTCAATAAAACGCAAAAAAATAAGAAGTTTTTCTTGACACCGATTGAAGCTTTTGAAAGAAGTTCTGTGCACATTTGATGTTCATGGCTTGTTGGTTACCAATTTTGCATGGGTAAAACTTCGCAAAAAGAAACATAACGGGTCCAAAAGTGCATCCCGGCTATGCAAACGGATGACGAAGTTTAACAACATAAAGTCAGGCGGAGTCAGTAATCAAACCACCCTAAGCGAGCATGAAAAAATATCAAAAGTTCAATTAAAAAACATAGCCTGAAAAAGTATTAGCCCTCTTCGTTAAACAAAACTCAACAATCGTGACACAACGATAATTGAAAAATTTTCCATCAATTCAAGGAGAGGCATTACAGTTCTGACAGTAAATTACATTAGAACTCTCTGGAAACCCAAAATTTTCTTCCATTGACTTTTTAATTGATAAAATTGACTAAACTGACTACAATACACTATAACGAAAATGACAGAAAAGTATTTATTTTTAGAATTTTTTTGATTTCAAGGTTTTTAACCTTCGAAATTTCAACCTTCAAATTTCAAAATTTTTAACCTTCGAAATGGTCGTTGATTTCAACCTTCAAAACTAAAAGCGAAAAAAGAAGTGAAATAAAACTAAATTTGGCGTCAAAATACAACCGGAAGAAATCTGATTTGACCTTTGAGTTTCAACATGAAAAATTTTTTAGCTAAAACAAAGGAGCTAATTGATCAGACCATTTCAAAATTGTGGAGGAACTTTGTATTTGGTCGTTGAAGTTTTTTTGTTTTCCCCAAAATTCCGATACCACAAATAATCATTGGAATGGGTCGAATGATATATCATACACAAGCTTTTTCAGTGGCAATTTCAACGAAACCAAAAAATTTCTATAAACTTTCTTGAGATACAGCTTGAAATTTTAAATTTTTGTCTAATTCCGAGCGAGTAAAGCTTATCTAGCTTAGCTTAGGCCTTTTCCAAGAGTTTAGTTATGCTTAATTTTAGTTTTGCTCGGGTGTTTTTAGTTTTTGATTTTTTAAAACATTTTGAGAATAGAAAATTCAAAAATTCCCAAAAAGTTTTCCAGAACGCAGCAACAAAAACTGAAAAAATTGTGAGTGTTTTGTTTTTTTGTTTGCTTATTCATTTTTCTTTAAAACTTGTTGTACAGTTTAACAGTTTTAAACCGATTGTCAAGTAGGCCTAAGTTTAAATTTTTTGTTCAGATCTGTTTATTACACCACGCAGAAAAAAACAACACTAATTTAAAAGAAAAAAGTTTGTGTTTTTAGACTTTGGTCGGAACATTCTGTGCTAATTGTCTACCAAACAGATGAGAAGAGCTACAGACCAGAAAAATTTAAAGAGTTCTTACGTGTATATAGGTTCTGTCTTCTTGTTTAGAAAATGACTTGGACGAAGGATTGCCTTGAGACTTTTGTAATGGGTCGAAATCTATAGCTCAAATTTACTGAAACCAAAAACCAAATTTAGTAATGAAAAATACATGGTTACATTTGATTTTGATTTTGCTAATTTCTGCATCAACAGTTGTTCAAAAAAATTTCATGTTTTCTTTTTTTAAATGGAAGAAGGTGCAATTTTATGCTGCAGGGGCTCATTACTAATGGAGTGCTAATACTGGTTAGGACTTCCGGTAAATTTGCCGAAATTAAAACATCCGATTTTTTTCTCGACACCGATGGAGTAGTTAGACTTATTGAAAATTTTTCAATAATTTTAGAAGGCTTTCATGATATCAAATAACCATCTGATGTTACGCCTCAATTGCTTACTGAGTCTCCGTAGAGAAACCTTTAAAGTCAACAACGGAACCAGTAGTTCAGCTGTAGAAAAAGCCAGAACATAAAGTCAAGCGACGTTAAAACACCTAAACGAAAATCAGCATAAATAAAAGTAGTAGTCTTATTTAGAAAATTGCAAACTAACTCTGCGACAATTTTTTGTTAATCATTATTTGAAACAAAGTCAACGAGCAGTTGAAAAACTTCAGTGAAGTCGAGAAGACCAAAAAATTTGTTTTGAAAATTTCCGAAAAGCTTTATAGATGACATTTTTTGATAAAACTGACCTTAATTGAGAAAAATAATCCAAAAGACAAAGCAAACAGCTCGGCAATTTTGAATAATTTCATGGAAACCAAATTAAAATGATTAACTTTTTGGGCATTTTCCAGTTTTTGGTTTTTGAAGAGCTTATTTATAATAACTCCGAACTGGAAAAAAATGTTAAAAGGACATTTTTTTATTTTAAATTTAGAAAATTGGATTATTGGGTGGTCCTTCGGTTCCACTTTAATTTTCTACGAAACTTTTACTGATTTTCAAAAAAAGGGTATCGTTCTCTCAAAAAAAAAATCTCAAATTGAGTTTAGTTTCAAAGAGTAGAACATTTCGAAATCCTCGAGAGGATACGCTCAAATCTTGAGAGGGTACGCTCAAATCTTTTCACACAGTTTTGGTTTTTGACCTTTTTTTTTGAATATTTTCGAAAATTACTTTGACATTTTTGAGATTTTGGGTTCGCTTCAAAGAATGAGTTGTGTAAAACTCATTTGCTTAAGAGACTACTTCCCAATTATTTAACACCAAAAGTTATGGCCCTCGGAAAAGTCAAAAATTTGGCTGTAAGATATTTTTTATATTCTGTGAAATTTCTCGAGACCTACCCTTTCAAACCTGAGATTTTTGGTTTAATCGAAACAACAGGTTGAGTGAATCTGTTTTGAATAAGCGGCTACTCCCTAATTTTTCTTACAAATAGCTGATTCTCGGAAATACCCAAGTTTTGATTTGTTGACCGTTTTTTGGACTTTTCCCGCTAACTATCCTGTCAAATCTGATATCATAGGTTTAATCGAAACAACAGGTTGTTCGAATCCTACTTTTTGTATGTGGCTATGCCCAGTTTGTTTTAAGAACTTAAAACTATGGCCTTCAACAAGTCGAAGTTTTGAAGTTTGATTTACACGAAAACTACCGTCCCAACTCTCAGGTTGTGTGCAATCGAGACATCGGGTTATGGGAATCTTCTCTTCGTAACCGACCACAACATGCGCTTTGCAGGAAAGTATTGGGTTTGTGAAATCTTTCGCCCCTTTTAAAGATCTTTTGACCGTTTCTTAGAACCTGTTTGAATTTTCAAAAAATTTACACAATCAAATCTGAGATGAAAAGTTCAATTGGAAGAACCAATTGCGATAATCGCTCCCGCGGAAGCCTTAAATTTGTAGGAACTTTTTATTTCCTCGTAAAAATTGATTATTTTAAAGTTTTTTTTACTTTTCTCACTTATTTAGTTGAAACAATTAACTTAACGCATTTCGAGGAAAAAACTTTCTAGCGTAAAACAAGTGGCCTTAAAACTCTTTGATTTTCAAGACCAGCTCTAGATAGACAGTTTTTGATAAAAAAATTAACATAATTTGACAAATCTGGAGCAATATTCAAGTTTTTTTACTCCGCTGGAAAATCTGAAAATTAAAATCCATTTTTGAAACTAGAAGCCGATCGCGTTTATTGAAATTGTTATTCGACAGCCAAATGAGCCTATCTTTTACCAATTGAATTTGAATTAAACTTAAAAACAACGAAGTTAAATCTCAAAAATTGAATTTTTGCGTGAACCACTTAGAAACCATTATTCAAAAAAAAACGACCTTAAGAAATTAGCCAGACTGTCAATAATGTCAACTACGTTAGTTGACATATTGACAGTCTGATAGCCAATCAGTTCGAATTTTCGATAAAACTCAGTCAATGAGATTCTAAATTACAAATATATTAGACTTGAACACAAAAAATGAATAAAAAACATGCAAATACAAAAATAGCTTGATAATTAAATTCATCGTATTGCAACATTTATTAGGATATTCAATGAAAGTAATAGATATAGCTGAGACATCAACAGGATCGCTTCTAAACTAAATAAATTAATTTCCAAAATCAAAAACAATTGCTGCAAAACATTATACTGCATTTTCAGGATACTGTGCTACCAAAAACACAAACATTTAATTAACTGCCATTAAAGACAAAATTATATTTACAAATTAACGCTAGAAGGAAGTCTTCCTAAATAACGAACTATTTACTTGAAATGAGCACGAAAGTTAAATAGAAACAGCACTTGCAGCAACATCATTAGAAATTCTACGCAAACAGATATAATTATGCGCAGCAAAAATTTTAAATCGTCGTTTTCAGTATCACCTCTGTCAGTATAATGTCATTTGTTTTTGTTTTCAAGATCGAATACATTTTCCTTCCAATTTCTGAAATATTCACAATTAAAATTCAAACGCTAATGATTGAAACAATTTACGTTCTATAGTCTACAATGCCAGTTGTTTTCCCTCATTTTCTCTTCCTTCTTGAAACTTTCTCACTGTGTTAATTATGTCTAAGGAGAAACACTTTTAGTCGGACTAGAAGGTGTGGTCACAATCTGCGGCAGCGTCAGTGATTTCAGGTTAAACTCTGCAGGTCCTGGTTTCGATCCCGCACTTGGCGATGGTGTTGCATTTGAAGGCGATGTCCCATTGAACGATGCCGATCCTTTACTGGATGAAGAAGAGAGTTTGTTTCTATAAAGAAAAACGACAGGTTGCTATAATATACCTGGTTATTAAAGCTGCTTATCTTGCCGCGGGAATCGATAAATTCTTCTTTATTCAAAAATATTTTCTTGGAGCTTGTTGTTAAAATAAAAAAAAAGCTTGAAAACTTATCCAAGCAACATATTTTTGTTTCGATAGTTAAGTTGCATCTTCATGAAAAGTTTGAAAATATTTCCAGAAAAGCAGCTACATATCATATAATTTTAAAATAATATCACCAAGATTGGACCACATATGCCCTAATCATTCGCTATCAAAAAGAATTGTTGCTGGTTACCAAAGGACCAGGGGCCTTTTGCTAAAAGGAAGTATTTAAAACTAAAATCAAGAAATCGGCCAATTTGCCTGAAATAAGAATAACCTAAAAATACACAGATGCGAAGCGGAGCTTCGTACCACTTGCGATACAACGCAATCATAAAAAAAACATAAGTCGAACAAAAAATGTTGAAAAAAACTACGTAAACCAAAATTTTTGCATTTCTTGATGAAGGACATCTAGGGTTGAGCTAAATCTGGAGGTGCGTGTCTGATATTTTTTGAATTTGTTATACTGATGCGGGACGAAATATATAATTTCAAAAATTGGACTTTACCTTAATTTTTTACTAAAATAAGGAAGAGAAAATTTATGAGATTAGGGAACTTTCCCAAAGACAAAACAATTCTCTTACAAAAAATTAGGGAGTAGCCGCTTCTGCCGGAAAAATGTGCGCAACCGCTTCTTTCGATTAAACTTTTCATGTCAGATATGATAAGGTAGTTTTTGAAAAAATTCAAAAAGTTTCTAACAAACGGCCAAAGTTTAAAAACTTGAACTTCCGAAATCCGTAAAATTTTTCTGCTTGAGAGAAGTGGCCGGTTAAGTAGAGAAGATTCCCAAAATCGTTTTTTTTTTCGATTGAACACTTAACCCGAGAATTGGCATTGTAAACGGTCTAAGTTTCAAAACTTTCACTTGCTTGAAGGCCATAATTTTTAATGAAACTGGGTGTAGCTATTTATAAAGGTACACTGCCAACAATCTGTTGTAACGATTCAACCTATTCTATCAGATTTGGCAGAATAGTTATCGAGAAAAGTCCAAAAAACGGTCAACAAATCATTACGTTGTTATGTACGCGAATCATAGTTTTTGTTTGAAAAAATTCGGGCGTAGTCACTTATGCAGAAGAGGTGTACCCCACCTGTCATTTCAAAAAACGGTTAAAAAATCAAACTTTCAGACTTTTTCGAGGGTCATAAATTTCTGTATCAAAAAAAAATTGGGCTAAGTCGCACATCCAAACGAGCTTCCCACAACCTGTTTGAGATATGAGAGGGTATTGTATGGTCAAATTCATAAAAGTTGGAGAAAAAACGCTCAAAAATTCAAAAACTGACTTTTCCCAGGACGATTATGTTTTGCGTGAAAAATACGAGTGGCCGTTAGCGCAGGGGATTTTCCTACTACCCAATATCTCCATTGAACCTACAACCTCAGGTTAAGCAGATTTGTTTCCGATAAAAGTCAAAAAGATTCAAAAAACGTTAAAAAAAACAGAAAAATAACTATTCCGAGAACCATAATTTAATGTGTAAAAAACGTTTGGGCATAGCCGCTTATAGAGGAGCTTTTCAAGTTCGTTCTATTCAATGAAAGCAAAGTCTCCGATTTGATAGGTTAGGTTTTGAGAAAAATCAAAAATATCGGTCAAATATTCCCCCACAGACGTTTTCGAAGGCTGTAGACAAAGGGGTAAAACAAAAAGATACCAGGGGAGTAAGCAGTCACACAAAAGTGTAAGAGGTCTTTCTATGGATACCATCTTTTGGAAATCGGTTAACAAATAGTGGTAAATATTTCAAAAAGCGTCTCGAAAACATAAAACACCCAATCCCATACATTTTCATAATACCTGTTTTCCTCAAACAGGAATTCCAGGCAAATATGCCAAGCAGAACATTTGAATTTCAAAATTCAAATTAGCAACTGAACAAAAAAATACGAAGCGGATACGAGGCCGACAATCTTTGAGCTGACACCAGTTGAGCTGAAAAAAAATGTAAAAAAAACTGAAAAACTTCAGGTCCCCCTTGAAACTACCCTGTAGTAACTAGTACCCACCCAGTAGTTTAAATTTGAATTTTCATGAAATTGAGCATGTCAGCAGCATAGCATCGTCAAAATTGCCTATATGATCAGTACCAATTGAACTTGAATAAGTGATTCAATTGATTTTGTTAAACTAGTTGTTAACACGAAAAAGTATTTATTCCGATTTGATAACGCTTGCTAATAGCAAGCTTAATTCATATCTGGCCTTGTGGAGTTGTTGGCTGAGTTTTGAGGCGACTGTAGATTTTGTCCACTGTTGTTGTTCGTGGATACAAGAGACGAGGCTGATGTCTTCCCGTGTGAGGAGTCACGTCTGTGTTTGCTGTTGGAGGGGGGCGAGTGATTGTCTCCGAATTTGAGTTTGTCCAGCTGACGCAACAGTTTGTCAATCTCCTAGACGAAAAAAGCAATGTAATCGGTTAACAGCAATGAAGTAGGCCAGCTGCTCAGTTAATGGCAGTTTTGACCTTGCTGGTCAGAACCGCAATAAACCGCTGAAAATATCAGGAAACGGCATTGACTAGAAATGGGTGAAAAAATTATTTATGAAATCAAGGGACCCAAAAAATGACTGATTTTCTTTTTGCAATTTTAGTTTCTTATAAAAATAAATTCACATTAAACTCTTTGAACTTCAAAAATCTACTATAATTGACATATTCAATTTAACTAATACAATATGAGAAAACTTGACCCACAGGTAAAGTGTTTGTTACCTGGAAAATCTAAAAATAACAATCCACTTTTGAAAATTCATTCACGCTTTTTTGTACCGTCTGCCATTGAAAAGCTTATTTTACCTTCAATTTGCAAAATAAATGCGATTTGAGCTTAACAAGAACTCCCTTGTCAAACCGCTAACACTCTAATCTGAGCGTGAACAAACCTACATATTTAAAAAACAGAAAATTAGGCATTCGCGTATTTTAAGGCAGATGCTCTTTTTACTTTTCCTGCACCTCGCTTGAGCATGTACTTTATGATGTAACGAATGGTTTTACAAGGTGAAGATGTATGTTTGTTCACGCTAAGATTAGAGTGGTTTTACTAAATGTCTCCATGGCCTAAATAGCCCGCATGCCATTTTCATAACAATCAGACAATTTGAACTAAATCTAATCAATGAAAAATCGCAGGTGGGTGGCAAATAACCAAGGAGGTTTCTTTGCCTGATTTCGTGCAATAAAAATTCTTTTGGGCTGCTAGAAAAAACAATGAGACCAAATGCTCACCCATACCTGATTAAGTTCAAAACCCAGCATCGCAAAGAACATAACTGAGATGGAACTCACAGCGTTGCTTTCTTTTTCGAGGGTAGTGAGTTCAACGTCCTGCCGTTTCTTCAGTTGGTTCATCTTTTTCCGCTGTTCCTGATCCAACTGAAACAGAGAAACACTGTTCATAACGGTCGCAATACACAAAGCGAAAAAAAGACAAAAGAGAAAACCAAAAGAATCAATACAAAATTATGACTCTTTTCTAGTTCCCCTTTTTAATTTTTTTTCCAAAACATTATTTCCCAAATGCAATTAAAATGACTTTTGCTGCAATAAATTATGTTAAAACATGTCAGGGTGAACGAGTGAACGGATTTGAATCACTTTTGTTCCAAGCAAATTGCGTTGCGATCAATTTTAGAAAGAATATTTGGTAATTTTACGCGAAAGAATATTTGGTAATTTGTAACTGGAAGCCAGCAAAAAGCATAGCTAGCCTTTTTCTTCATTTAACATAGTCCTCTGAAATTAATCGGCAATTGTCAAAAAGAACCCTGAATTCACTTTTAAAACACAGAGGCGAAGCTGGACAACAAAAAACGCCAAGAAGTCTCTTTAAAAATTTTGAAGTGAAGAAAGATGGAAAAAAGAGCCCTCTACGGGATTGAACCTCAGACATAGGAGATCAAAGAATTCATTGACACAGACTAACGAAACATAGACTGCCAAAACTATGACACAAAAGAGCCAGCAAATAAACATTTTATTTACTGATTGAGTTGGAAAATAGTAGACTTCCTATTATAATACAATGCTTCGCAGGCAAGAGATAATTTTTTACACCGAGAAGCTGAAGTTCACATAAAAACGCAAAAAACGGCTAACGAGGAAAACGACACAAATTTGGAAAAAATTCCGCTTTTGGTATTCGAGCTTCAACCACCAGAGTCTATTGTCTTCACTGCTCCGCCATATTGCCTTGCTACCTTCAAACTCCAGCTACCACAAAGCGGGTAAAACAAGTTCTAGAAATGTAATTATAGTGCCAATGTTAAAATACTCAAGTGCTATGAAAAAGTGCCGATTTGTTCAGCATTACTTTATGCCATCTAAACTTGAAACAGAGGCATCGTATTATGAGACAATTGCTTTCCTGTTCAAAACGGATCTGAGCCAACAACGCTTCATATGGTCAAAATAGAGTGCTGATTTAAATTATCCGGACAAAACTAGAAATTTAAAACGCGTTTTTCTCAAATTGGGTCAATTTTAGATTAAAACGATGGAATGAAAACTTGCTTAGAATTTCAGCAGAAGTAAATTTAACTAAATTTGAAGTAAATTTAACCCCCAAAATGACCATTATCGGCTTTTTATTCAATCAAAAATTACGCCAAAACTGTTGATTCAAATGTTGACATTTTCAATGGTCGGAACAAAAAGCGTTTTAAATTTCTAGGTTTGTCAGGATAACTTGAATCCGCACTGTACCAGCCACCAATAAAATACATGTAATGAAACGCAGAAATACTATGCAGCAAAAATGAGTATTTTTTAATGCAATTCAGAATGGAAAAAAAATGATTACCTATTTATTATTTCGCAAGCTTGTGTAAATACTGACGAAATTGAGCGTTTATACGACCAATTTTAACCCAAACCATAGCAACTCTCGACTTATCCATTTTCACCAAATATGTTTAAAATTAAACTAGACATCTTGAAAATTGGTTTGAGCTGGTTCAATTTGCAGACGCAATACTCTAATTACCGAATATAATACGTTGGTTATTTCGATATCTATTGTTCCGACTTTCGAAGAAAATGAAGAATATATATGCCTGGGGTGATTTCTTTTTTATTCAGACCGTTTTGAATCTTTTGAGGGCTCGATCCCCGAACCTACGAGTCACCTGCCGTGCGTACACACCACTATGTTAGCGTGACTAGCTGTTCAATCTAAAGCAAGTCTAAGTAAACTGATCGTTTTATACTTCTCTGATCCCGCACTACAAAATCGTTCCGATATGAATTGAGGCAAGCTAATTGGTCTAATTAATTTCAAACTAAAAGTCAATCACGTTTTTTGGGACCAATACACTTTTGCTGTTCTATAGTGTATTTTTCTTTATTTTCAACGGAACAAATGCACTGAATTATAATTGAACGAAAAATAAACGAAAAATTGAATTTGAGCGTAAACAAATATTAGGACTTTTTTTAAAAAAAAAACGAACAAAAAATCATCAAGACCTATAATTTTTTCGAAAGATCGAAAAATAAAACTTTCCATTTATATCAAATTTTTCCGCATTTTTGATTTTGTTGTTAAGATTCATGAACGTAGTGAATACTCTTAACAACAAACGTTCATGAATCAAAAATGCAAACGTTCATGAATACTCGTCACTACGTTCATGAATCTTAACAACAAAATCAAAAATGCGGAAAAATTTGATATAAATGGAAAATTTTATATTTCGATCTTTCGAAGAAATTGTCATGATATGCATTTAACCCACGCATAAAAATTTTCAGATAATTTTTAATTCTTTGCAGCCACTTATATCGAGCCAACTTCGAGAGTTTTCTGTTGAGAGCAACAACCTAAAGGCAAATGCTTTTTGAACACGAAAATAGTTTACAGAAAATGAGACGAAAACAACTTCTGTTGAAAAAAAACTAGATTTCCCTAAATTTTCATATCATTCTCTCGAATAAAGCTCAGGGGCGGATTTTTTGGGCGTATCCCCTCAGGGATTTGACCCCGTCGCCACCCAAAGAATCCTCCTCACCACCCAAATTATGAAGGGAAGCGCGCGCCGAAAAACGCAATTTATGTGGTCAAAATTTAAGTGCCCAAAAGTGGCAATTTTCCCAGTTTTTTTTCAAAGTTTTAAGAAAAATTTATTAAAATATGGATCTTAGCCGCGTTCTGGGTGCGCTCGGAAAAACAATTTGGTAAAAAAATCAAAAAAAATCTTAGATCCGCCTCTTATAAAGCTCAATTAAAGAAAAAATGCCGAGTAAGACCGTTGAATGTTTAGAGCCCCCTTGAAACTTTTTTGCCAATCGACTTTTTTTGCCAATACACAATACGAGGCCAATGTGCCAATTTAAGCAGAAGCCTCTTGAACCGGGCCATACATCCGCGTCGCGACCTATTCAGAATAGTATAAATGTCGCAATTTATCGAAATCACAATCAACACGCAATAAATTTTCAAACTAAGTACTAAAGTAGACGTTGTGTTTAACTTAACGAAAGAGGATATTGTTCCTTGGTCCAATCTTTGTAGCAGTAATAATGGTTTTTTGTTACACTAGTGTACAAAGTTAAGCGCAAATTCATATTTTTCTCTCTAAACTGCCTGTTTTCATGGACAATTTCAGACAATTTTCAGGTAAAATTCAAACTAAATTTTTACATAGATCAAGAGAAAATGAGCATAGCTGCCCTCTATGAAGTTATCAAAATTTGGTTCCAAAGACCCTTCAGTTTTGTCCGGGTATGAAAATGCCAGTTTTCACCATCTGCTTTAAGTTTTGCATCGTAGTGAACTTTTTCTCGAATAAGCGGAGAAAAAAAATTCGCTCATGCGACGTGAAACATTCTCAACGAGAAACTTGAAACAATCAATGTGACATTTACTAAATTCTTTACTAAGCTGCTTCTTACAATTTCACGCGTTTTGAAAACTTCGTACGGATGATTCAAACATTGGGAAAAAGCTGATAAGTGCTTCAAATTAAAAACATACACTCAGAGATGGTATATCAGATCATTTGCTGTCGATGTAAAATTTTTGTTAAAATTAAAGTAAATATTATCCAAAAAGTGCCCTTAGAAATAAACTTTTTAGAGAGTGAAAACTTTTACGTTTAATTTTGTCCACAAGTGTAGTTCACAGTCCTCGAATTGAAAAATTCCTTCAATTGGATACTTATCTTTCAATAGTTCAGTACCTGTGCCTTGGTGCAATATCTATTTGATGCAAATCATAATTTTTTCATGATCTTTATACTTTTCTAACGCTTTTTATGCCAGCTATGAATCTATATTTTGTGGACAAATCGATCATTTTTATTAATTTTTCTACCTTGTAACTTGTTTTTATTCACACAATCTGTTTAATTCGAACTTCGATGGTGCAGTTGCAGTTATATGTTTGTCATTCAGTTTCAGTTATTCAAAGAGACTGTATTCACTTTGAAGCGTAATACCATGATGCAATGATGATTAAACCCAATATTGTCAACTGAGCTTCAATAGAGTTTTACTTTTACTTTCAGTTGCTGTTTTAGTTAGAAAGCGCTAGTATAAATACAGCGAGATGGAAGGACTGCATATTTTGTTTCTCTTTTCATCCAAACTACTACACGCCAGAATTTCTGAGAAATTTACTTCGAAATTACACAAGAGAAAAACAATTATAAATCAAAATAACAGGACATTAAATCTTTGGACGTATCTGATTTCTATATATTTGAAGTCCAATTTGAAAAATGGATTCTCAATTTGGAATTGTTTATTCATCAAAAAAACTAGCAATTTACAATCTCTCAGAACATAACGCCTGCAAATTTGAAGACAGCGAAGAAGCCTTGCACACCGATGACGTGAAACTTTACGGAGAAATGTTTCTAAAGAGCTTTGCGTCGATGATAATTTCTCTTTTGCTGTGCGTGTACTACAAGCGTACATTCGGAGACGCCCGCAGAGGTTCGCCAGTTCCAAGCTCACTCAAAATACTCGCTAGCGATGTTTCGGAGTTTGACAGCGACGATATCTTGAAATTCCTTGCGAACTCAATCGTTCTGGGACTCCTCTTTAACAGCAGTGACTGGTTTCTGCATAACTCGAACACTGTAGCTGCCTACATGTAAGTCTACATTTTCAATTTAGTTCCACTTTCAGGTCTTTTCCATTATTCGGCCCAAACTACCGAACCGTTTTATGAGATATTTGTTTCAAATAAAGTTCATATAAGCTATCCCTTCGTATTAATCAGTTCAGGCAATCAGACTCAAGTATAATAATCCAGTTTTCAAAATAGCAGAAGGAGGAAGTTGAGGCCGTAAAACAAAAATGCGTAGTTTCAACTTGTTTTTCTTATTAACTAAAGAAAAATTCTGGGCTTCCATAAAAAAATATACATTTTCCTTTCAGAGCTCTATCTCAACTGATACGAGTGAAAAGACTTCACATTCTCCGTTCAGTTCGGACTGTGTTCGGTCCCGCATTCGGGATCTGCCAACTGGCTAGTCTAGTCGACTCTAACTACACTTCGGTCATAGCCTGGATTCGGCTGCTTCTAGTGCTGGTTGCGTCCACAGTGCTAAGACCAGATAACAAATGGACTCTGCAGAAATTTACAACCCGTCCTGTGAGTGTTCAAAGCATGATATTCGCCCACGGAGCTTGCATGTTTTCGACTTCGATGTTGGTCGTCTACAATTTGAACAGTGGACTCAAAATTTCTCTACTGGCTGCCTCTATGTTGATTGCCTTCTATGTTATAACAGCACAGCTTCCCAAATTTGTACTTCGTAGAATGTAAATTAATTGATACATTTTCATACATTTAGAAATCTGTACTTTAATCTTTCGTAGTTTAGAATAATTTAATTAATCAATTGAAAAAAGATCACTAAGAAAGTTGTGTTTTGCACTTAAAACTTTTATTAAAATTTTTGACAGAGAAACTCTGGATGAGGCTCCCAAAAGTACTTTTTTAAAAGTAAAATTAAGTTTTTTTTTGCCTAAATTGCTAAATTTCATGTATAACGAACGTTACTCGATCACTTGATTCGCTCATGATTTCACAATAACTCAAAAACTTTATCCCAGTTTTCTCCACACAAAAATAACTGTTTGACATTTTTTAAAGATCGTTCGAATCGCAACTGAAAATGCTCTCATATGGTACATTACTCGACTCACTTTGATGATTATTCGTGGTATCTGATTTTGCGTGGAAAACAAATAAAAAACTAAAACACACCAAATATTCTCAAATGTCTAATGGTCGTAAAAAAAATATAAGGAGTAGACAAAAATAGTTTATATCAATTCTGATTGCAAATGAAAATTTTCAGATGATTTGGTTAAACTGTAAGTCGTAAAACAGTATCATAGGAAACTCGGGGATGGTTCAAACTATTGAGAGGGGTGGATACCCCCTCAAAATTGCTATTTTGTTGAGAAATTCAACGTATAATTAACTGATGAAAGCGCTTCGCATATACCGCAAAACTCATTTCGAGCTTTAGAAAAAATTCTGAGCCCATATTTCTTCAAGTTATTTTCTACAAGAGCAAACATTATGGTCAGCTCGGAAAACATATCAAAAAGCACTAGAAAACCTATTTAAAATTTTCGATTGCACTTTAATAACACAGCCAACAGTGCATTGAGTTTATTTCAATTCAAGTTGATGGCTTCAGAAGAATCGCAAAAAAAATGTTTTTTTTTCAAGCAAGCTAATGAAACAAGCAAGGAAAAATTGAACATACCAAGTTATTCGCTAAGCTTGAAACGTTTGAAATTGTTTTGATGGCTAGAAATTGTGTGTTAAACAAATTTCTGCAAGCAGCTAAAGCGATGAAGTTTCGACCTTCAATTTGAACTTTAGTTACTTCAATAGCTAATGAAAACCTTGCAATTTAAAAACCTTCAAATACTTCAAGTTATTATTATTGCCTGCAAGCCTTTGAGGACTAACAATAATAGAAAATTGAAAAACTCAATTTACATTTTGACAGCTTTCATTGGTTCGCAAAGATAAGTTTTTGAAAGCAAAACATTCAAGCGGTGAAACTTTGAATGAATTCTTTATTATGCCGTATGAGTTTATTATGCCGTATTGAAATGATGCGTTAAAAATTAAAGGCAATGGATCCTGTTACGAAACTGAAGCAGTTTGTTTAATTGGATTAAATTAGTGTAGAATTGCTCAACTTTTTAGAGGAACATGGGCTTCGGAACTTTCAAAAACTTTATTTTGCTAAATTGAACTGATCAGCCGAAAAGCCAAGTTTTTCATTAAATGAAACTTTGACACGTCCAAGTTTTTTTAATGCATTGATTCACAGAACTTTGGTTTGTTGTTGCAAGCTATTCAAGATACTAAAGCATAAAACAAATTATTCTGTTTTGACAGCCGAATTGATTTAAGAAAAATCAATTATTTAAATGTGTCTAACACATCTTGCTATGTTCAAGCTGGCCAATCTACGAAAGGATTGAAATTCGAACCATTTGCATGTGTTTAAATAGCTCAAATTAGATTTAAAAAAAACGTTCGAAAAACTCCAAGCGAGCTTTCAACCATGAGAGAGTTGAAACATTTCAAACTGTTTTGATAACTCTCAAGTCTCCACGAGAACAGGACTCTATGCCATAACAGCACCATTTAAGTTCCTTGAAGTAAGATAGAAGGAAACCCTGTTAAAGCACGTATGAGAGAAGACCCGCATATTGCTAAAACTGAGGAAAGTGTTTTCAACATTTTTCTGCACCTGATTTATTTGCTTCATTTGCTTTAACTTGTTTAATAGTTGTATTGACATCACTTGACAAGAAACAAAAACAAATGACTTTGAGCCACTAAACAGAATTTGGAAACTACACATTTTTTGGCACCCCACTATTGCATATATTACCCCCCCCCCCCCGCTTAGCATAAAAACTGTACAACAACCCGCTGTGTTTAAAAGATCAGTGGGGTTTTATTATAGGGGCTATAATATGAAAAATCTTGTAACACTTAAGACCAATATAGAAAACCGTTTCAAATTGAGTGTGAGTTATACATATCTATAAACAAAAAACGTCTCAAACCGTCAAGACAATCTGTCTAGACCTCGACCTTTCCAAGCTCACTTTATCTTGAAATTTGAACGTGTCAAGTCAAATCGATTTCTCAAACGTTACGAGTGGTGAAATGTGAAAAATTGCGCCCATGAGAATTGAAAACGTTTTAAAATTAAATAACATAGGCAACTGACAGTTGGGAAAGAGTAATGAACGCAAAGAAACTGAAACTTTTGAAGTTCGAAGAAAAAAATATATGGCCTCAATTAAAGCTGCATAGCTTTTTGCATGATCCTTGGTGGGTTTGATTTGTACATGCGGTTTATTGTTTACCTGTCTGTATAATATTACTCTCCTAAATAAACTATATTTAAAGCTCTTTGAATTTTTAAAACAATTTATGATGTACACTTTTTTTGTTTAAATTAACCCTATGTGAGAAAACTGGATCAATAGGTAAAACTTTGATTTCACTGGGAAATCTGATAATTAAATTCCATTTTCGAAATTAGAAGTCGATCACGTTTTTCGTCACCTTAACCATTTTGCTGTTCGATAGTGGAGTTTGACTTCGTCTTAACAATGGAAATACACTGAACTTGAAAAAAATCACAAATCAAACCGCAAAAAAATCGGAATTGAGTGTGAACAAAGTTTAAGACTTTTTCCTGAAAAAAAAAACAAACAAATCACCAAGACCTATACAAGAGTACTCACTACGTTCATTACTCTTATTAAGATACGACTCAACATTTAACACTTAAAATTTAATATTATCAGACCAAAACCAGTTAAAGGTCAGTGGGAACATTCCAAATTTTGCCCTGATACGAGGAGTTTTGTTCCATTAAGTACACGATTTCATATGCTTAAAAAAGCACGGTAAGCGAAACACGGGTTTTCCATTACACGACTATAGACTGATTTATTATGCCTGAATTTTTTACAACTTTCATGTAAATAATCACATTAGTTCCATTGACCTAGGCGGGGTCAAAGCTTTACGATGAAGCCTCAGAAAAACCTGGCACCTTGTATATATTAACTTATTTGCTATATACGCTTATCGCTAGGAATATGCAGGACACGTATCCCATAACCCGGCTGAAACACAACTGGCGTGTAGATGGACACCTCTATCAAAAGTTTATCGACACAGAGGCAAAGCTGCGCTTCGCAAACATGCGAGGAAAATGCAAAAAAGAGCTCCTAACAAAAGCCACCAATAAAGCAGTAACAATTCGAGCAAAAAAATAAAAAATATTTCAATGCTCCGGATTTGAATCTCCGACCTGATAATTAGGAGCTTCACTCACGTCCTCGCATCTGCACCACGGTCACTTGGAAGTGAACTAGTGGCCAGCTAATACTGGATGTACCTGTTTTGCTGATATAATCATATTTTGTACTGATACAAGAAATGCGTTAATTTTCAATGATTCAAAAAATGAACTTTCCGCAAACCCTAGTAACTTCTCTGCTTAATTAGGAGATATGCTTATTTAAAAAAGAAAATTACAACTCGCTTTTTCATTTGAATTCTTTATCTCTTGATTTGGGTGGGTAGTTTTTGATCAAAAAGTGAGAAAATTCTACAAAACGATCAGAAAACCAAAAATTAGATTTTTCCCGAACCCATAAACGTTGTTTTTGTTTCCATTTAAGCATGGAAATAAACTTTTATGCAGGGAAGATTTCCAGGCACTGATTTGTAGATTGAACCCTTGATATCACAATTAAGCAGTAGTTTTCGAGATAAGGATGAAATTTCTTTAAAGAAAACGGCAAGAGTTTCAAAAAATGGATTTTCCCGAAGTCCATATCGGTTTTTCTTCAAAAGGGCAAACAAATTTCAAAAAATTAGACATTTTCTGAAACCATATTTTTTCAAAACACGGGACAGGCCGCTTGAACAGACAGAATATTCATATAACTAACTCTTTGTCAAAATGTCAAAAAATTGGCTTGTTTGAGGCCATAACTTTTTTCTACCGAATTTAGGAAATAATCGCTTGAGAATTTAAAATGAGGTCAAAAATCCCAACACTGAAACTTTCGAAGGTCGTAGAACGTGGGGTAAAATGAAAAGAGACAAGCTAATTATGCAGGCATATAGAAGAGCAGCCGGTTTGTCCATTGGTACCACTCGTTGAAACACGATACACAATTTATTGAGAAAAAGTGAAACTTCTGCGAAAAGTGGAAAAATTTTCCATAGCACCACAAAAAAATAAATTCCACGCATTTTCATATTACCTGTTTCTTCAAACATGACCTAATACTAGCTTAAAAAAGCAACATCAAATTGCCTATGCCTAAAGAGGCTTAAATATGATTAAAGTGAAATATACCAAAAATGCCAACAAATGAGCACTTTTATTTGCGGCTTAGGTTAGAAAAGAATCTTCTTAATAATACACTAGGCTTGGCTTGTGTAAACATAATACTCTATCTCCTATACCTTTTCTCTCTCAACGATGCAGTTCTTGACCACATTCTCCCTCACTTCCTTCACCTGTCGCTTCTTCTCTTTCGCCAGGATGCTCTTGTCCTTCTGGATGGCCTTGGTGGCCACGATGGAGTTCTTTGTTTGGTTCAGCGATACTTCCTTCAGGCGCCTGCACAATACATATAAATAAACAATAAGTTTTCTATCCAGGTAATACAATCAAACATGAGGTTTTTCACATTCCTCTTTCATTTTAATGGGACCCAGCACAAAACAAACACAAAACAGGAAAAACAATTAAACTTAAAGTTTTTAAGAGTTATTCCTTTTGTGATGTGATGCCGTTCTGGTGCTGCCTTTTGGTATTCTCCCAAGTCTAATTAAACTGTTAAAGTTCAATTTCAAATAACGTTTGACTATGAGCTTCTGGCTTGAAAAAAAATTATTATTAAATAGATCGACGATTAAATCCTCTATTAATACTGAACTTCAAAAAAATATTGTTTGTATTTTCATATTTGTTTTCAAAACCATAAACTCAAAAACAGAGGCGAACCTGCAAATACGAGCGATTAAACGGCAAAGGAAAGGCAACGGAAATGAGCTGCAAAGTAAGCGAGAACTCAAATTTGCATTAAAACTCACTGTTTGAAGTTCAGTTCCATATTGATCTTCTGAGTCTCGTGTAATTTCAGAAGCAATTCGTGCATCAATGCTCCCTCTGCCCTCTTGTGGGTTAGCTGGAGTTCAATTCTATTATACTTCAGTTGTGTGTCTACAGACTGTAGCGTAGTACTACTACTATCACCTGAAAAAATCATAGTATGGAAAATTTTACAAAAAACTAAGATTGCTTAAAAGAAAACTCACGAATTTAAGTTGGCTCCAAAACAAAATTGAACCAACTGTAGATAACAACTATTCTCAATTGAAAATACAGATAGCCAGTGAGAATAGAGTTAACTTTAAAAAAATACTCAAACCGATGCGAAGCTTTAAAAGTACGCATTATTCGACATAACTTCGTGGATGTTTTTTTAGCTCAAGATATTGCATTCCACCGGCGCTCAAAAACACAAGTTGAAAATGAATTTCTGATCCTTAGCCAATTTTTTGTTTACAACTCGCTAAAATTGCCACCTCAAACTAAAATTACCTTGAGCGCATAGCTGAAGGGAACACACTAACCTGTAACCGTATGTTCTTTGAGTTTGGGCGGTGAAGGTGACTCTGATGATGATGTGCTCATGGCTTTCTGTTTTTGCTGTTTATTTTGTGTTCCATCTGATGATTTGATGTGTTCCGCAACTCCCGTGTCGCTAGAGGAAGATTTGTTCACAGTGGCACCTGGAAAACCTAACTCATAATCTTCGACTCAAGTGAAAAACAATCGGGAAAAGTAATATTAGCAATGATTGTTCGTATTCTAAGATAAAATCCAATCAGCTTTTTACAATAACTGAAACCTCGACATTCATGGTGAAATTCACGTTCAATGTAATAACTTTCAAAACAGTACACTCATGTTACACACAGATGTGAAGGAAACCTTAAGCCGAAACGAAAATACTGACTTAGTTTTTGAAACAATTTCAGCTTTCGAATTATAAACAAAAAATTATATGCGCTTAAAGCTATTTGAACTTCAGGAGAAATTTATGATGGGCGGTTTTCTGATAAAATTAACCCAATTCGAGAAAACACAGGATCAAAAGGTAAGTTTTCTTTTCCGTGGAGTTTGCCTTTTGCGAATTTAAACAAATCACTCTTCAAACCGCGATAAACCAAATTTGAGACTGAAAAATTTTTAAAGAGTTTTCCTGAAAAAAAATCACCAAGACCTATATCAGAGTCTTCTCTACGTTCAGTGACTCATATCAATTAAGTTACAAAATCTAAAAAAACTCTCAATTATTGTCTCTTAATGAAGCTTCCAAAACTATTTTTCCTTTGGTTTACTAGGCTAAAAAGCCGAATTTCATATAACGAACGTTACTCGCTCGCTTTATATTGATTCACGATATCAATCGACAATTTGATATCCCCATTCTAATGATTATTTATAACATGGAGATAGAACATCAGTCTGTCGCGCCTAAATCAAAGATACGGCATATATATAACTGACGCCTTATAACTTTTGCTTTCACCAATGCTTATTTTGTAAATACAAGGCAGTATTGAAAGCGCATTAATAGAGCGGATAAAACACATGCTACTGAATTGCCTAATACAATTTGAGATGGCATGGAAATTGAACAAATACTGGAAACACAGAAAGTTGCGATGCTCAGAAAGAAGTTGGCGTGTTACATATCATTCGCTTTCGTTTTTGGCAATTAATTTTTCGTCATCAAAAAACAATTGCCATAAAACAATCAAATTTTTATGGTCAAAACAATTTCACATTCGAAAACAATCTACTTTAATTTTTCGAAGTTTTCAGTGATGTCCATTGAAAAAAAAATGAAAATTTCAAGTTAAATTAAAATTGTTTAAGAAAATTATAAAAATTGTTGGCTGGCATCAATTTAAATTTTTTTTAAAACTTTAATTTTTCTTTAGAAAATTATATTTTTCTGCAGTCTGTTTTTTTAGCAATTTTTCTGCGAACTTAGGGGACTTTTCGCAATTTATTTTATTTTTTTTAAATGGACATCACTGGAATTTATGTATACCTTTATGAATAGCTGGAGGAGATTTGGCGTCTTGAGCAGTGGTTGTGCTTGTATTATCACCACTGTTCTTCTTCCTGAAACTGAATCTGGCAGCCGCACTCGACCCTAGCAACTTGAGAGTGCGCGACGCACTACCCTAAAACACGAAACCCTGCGTTCTTTTGCAAGCTTTTTTATTAGTCCCCGGACGGGCTCAGTGCAGGACCAACCGTGGGGAGGGGGAGATGTCATCTATTTCGCCGCAGCCGGTCCCACCTTGAGGAGGCGGATGACACTGGGACCCCTCCAACCGTGACCGAAGCGAGATTCGAACGCACGAGATTCGAAAGTGTTGAGAGACGTGTGCTTAACCCACTCGACCACGGCTGCTCTTATTTTGCAAGCTCGCAACGCTCCGCTTTGACAGAAGTGCTTATTTCACCGGTCTCTTAGTTTGCTGTTATTGAAACCCAACAATTTAATTGAAATGTGTTTTTTCAATTGTTATGGTGATTTTTTTTCTGATGCAAAGTTGCTACAGAAACGAAGTTGCTACTTCGCAAACACAAGCAAAAATATGGCCAATAACGCTACTGAGAAAAACTCAATGAGTAAAACTTTGAGTCTTCAAAATTTCTCAAGTGACGCACGCCAGTAATGAGTCTACGTACTTGCTATGTGACGCAAGCCAACTATGACGCATTAGCAGTCAATTTTAAAAAAAAAAGGAATTTACCAACTAACGTGGCTCAATTTATAGAGCGGAGCATTTTCTCTAGTATACGAAAAAGTTCATCAAAAACGTCCGACCCTGCCCAGGTTCGAACCCTATTAATTTGTTGCGGGGTCTCCTTTTCTACCTCTAACTACAGATCCACGATACCTTGAAGCTAAATGGCTGTTTTTAATATAATAGTCTGCGTTAACATCCTTAGCATTGGCTGTACTTAATAGCTGGTTATTGATCAAAATGAACTCTTTCAAAATGAACACAGCAACAAAATTTGCGACTTAAGTTGAAAAAAAAAGATAGTTCATACTATAACACAAGCTTTGCTTGTATAATAATAAAAATTAGAAATAAGTCTCAAATTAGTGAAAATTCGGCTACATCTCAGATTCGGAACAGCGACTTAGCAATTACTAGCCTCACACACTAACCAGTCAGCCACTGAAGCCTAATATTTCCCAAACACTACTCACAATTAAAGCAGAGAACAGATGCTATGCAATTTCAAATGCTACTGTGAAATCTCCAAATAAATGAACACTTTTAATCAACACTTTTGTTTGCGAGTTAGGTCAGAACATAGCTTATCGAAGATTGGAAAAGAGTAATCAACGCAAGTAAACATAAAAAAAAACACTGACTTTCTTGAAAAATCTCAAATTTCTAATTTCAAAGAAAAAAAATAGATGCCTTTTAAGCTCTTTGAATTTCTGGAAAAACTTATGACTGGCGCTTTTTTGATAACATTACCCAAATTGAGAAAACTGAATCAAAAGATAAAATTGTTATACCGCTGGGAAATCTTAAAATTAAATTCCACTTTCGAAACTAGAAATCATTCACGTTTTTTCGCGCCATTTCCAAGTTCATATTTGGAGAGTGCTATTTACGTCACTTTCAGCAGATGAACTTCAATTGAACTCAAAAAGTGCATTATACCTTAGTGCATCAATATTTTAAGACTTTTTCAGGAAAAAAAAACTTTAAAAAAATCAGCAAGACCTATATAAGTCTTCACTACGTTCATTACAAATAAAAAAAAGATTCGTAAGAATAGACTGAGCTGATCGCATGTGTTAAAATTTTATCGCTCTAAAACTACTCAGTTGGCCAGTTTTCATGTTTGTTATCAATCTTCAACATTGCTCATTCTACTTCCATGCTCTCATATTAGCTTCAGTAGCTAATGAATGAGAGAACGGGAATTCACCTGTGGCTTGGGTGGTGCGTGTTGTCTGTCAAATGCTTCCACTTCCTTGGCATGTTTCTTTAGCAGCTGCTGATATGCTTTGCACGTCTTCAGTGCCTCCTTCTCGCCCTCACTCGGCAACTCAAGGGCTAAACAAGCAGTTTCTATTTTTGGTTACTTAAACTTAAAAACCAGGATGAAAAATTAGAGCGAAGCTGCAGACAACAGCAAAAATATAATCTTTAAGCTATCCTTACTAAGCAAAGTCAAATCTAAATTTCTCATCAAATTATCCCACCGAAAATTTCGAGAAGGCCAGAAAATAGGAGACACTGATCAAAAACAAGCAAAAAATTTCGAAACAATTTTTAAAATTTGATTAATTGCATTGAACTTTGAACCGACGTCCTATGAAAAACAACTACCATTTATTTAAAAAAAAAACAAATTTTTGATCCATCACGTAAAAAGTTTACGGAGATGCCCTCTACAAAAAAATTGCTGCGACATCAGTGCAAAAAAAAACTTACAGACAGTAAATGTACTGTTATCCCCTCCAGGTGTTGTGGATCCCCCTCCCGGTCCTTTCCCCCCTCCTCCTGCCAGCTCACTACCACTGCCCGCACTGCCCTGGCCAGTCATAACTGCGCCCGCTCCAGGCATGGACGGATAGTGTCCGTGGGGGTTATTAGACACAGATCGACTGAGGGTTCTGTTCAGTGGACCTAAATAACAACAATAATCATTCATTAAAATTGCGAATTTACTTTGAAGGACCTCGAAAGAGTTCAACACGTTGCTATTACGACTCATCATCAGCAGCGGATTTGGAGAAAGGCGCCAAAATATACAAGTTTTGAGGGGGGAGCGCGCGCCGAAAAACGCGATTTTTGGTCATAACTGTCCAAAAAGTGCCTAAAAACGACTGTTTCCACATTTCATCGGCGGCGCAAAAAAATATTTATCCAAAACAGGGTCGTTTTAGTGCTTTGGTATAGCTCGGAAATTCAACTTGGTCGACATAAGGAAAAAAAAAAGGTAGACAAAACTTTCGAAGAAAATCCTAGATCCTCGCGGCTTTGTTCAATATTCACGCATTGACACTTGATAAATAAAAAGAATCTTCAAAATACTGTTAACTTACCTGATGTATTATTAAAAGAGCCCCCTCCTGTGGTTGCGGATGACACCGAGGGTGCGTATGAAGATATATCTGATGTGTCGTTTAGACTTGACAGGTGGGGCTGGGATGAGAGCATTGATGAGGTAGAGGCGGCAGCGGCGGCTGCTGCAGCTGCCGCAGATGTGGCCTGGATGGCGGCCATTCTAGCTTGCGCTTGGGGATCGGAGAGGGCGTCCACGAAATCTAAAATCGGAGCAGATGGTCACAATTATGACGCAAAGCAAGCTTAATTGAACTAGCATTCGGGTTTGAATCAAGTTACGTAGGAAAGTTTGGATGTGGGAATTGAACGGAAAAACATTCCGTCGACTTTTTTGGCAGAGGCTAGAAAGTGACAAACCAAAGTGATCACTTTTCGTAAAGTTACAAGAGTTGAAAAAAATGCCTATTTCAAATAATTAACGCGCAATAACAGTCATATTTGCTTAAAAAACTTTTATTGCAATTTACCCGAATTGGATTGGCCCGAGAAAAAGTAGCGATCATAAAAGTTGATTAAAAATCCACCAGAAATCTAATGATACAACTTGTTTGATTCATTTTTTGTCCCAAATCCAATTTATGCAGTTATCTGGCAAATTTTATTGTATTTGCTATAAGATGGGAAATAATTTTTGTGGGGGTTGACTTCCGAATAAAATACACCCGCTACAATTGAAAAACTATTCGCTCGCTCGATTCTTTCTCTCTCTCTCTCTCTCTCTCTTTCACACACAAATACACACACACAACTCTTCTCTTTCACACTCACACACACACGCTCGCACACACACACACACTCTCTCTCTCTCTCTCACCTGAGTATCCTTCGGGGACGTATGTCTTGAGCACAATGTGGCAGAATAGGGCGGGCAGTGAGAGGGGGATGTTGCCCTCTGTCCTGAGGGAGATGTGTCTGTAGCCACTCTGCAGTCCCTCCAGTGGCAACACTCGCTGTCCCAGCAGACGACCACTCTCGTCGTACACTCCGAACCGAAGCACAGCTAACTCAGGAAGCACTATCTGAAAAGAAACCACTATCTTTTTCCACCTATTCATTTCATCTCATAAAAAATACACGATGGTGAAAGTATAATAGTGAAAAATTGAAGTGCCTTTTAAAGCTCATGTTCAGCGATAAAAGCTACAAAATTCAAAACTACTTTTCTACTACGAAATTATCGGATATTTCTCAGTCACTCAAATAACCCACAAAAAAAATTTATCTTTTTAAAATTCTTGTTGCGTGTTCATTTTTGTACCCAATTAACCTAGCTCACTTGCCTAACCCTTTCATTTGGTCATGTTTCCTTTCGAGACATTGATTATATTTTCTAATTAGCCCCTTATTATTTCTGCAACTTAATAAATGACTGCACTGACTGACCTTTCTGAACACGAACGTGTCTCCCCCTGCCACCTGGGTGTATATGGGGTTGAGTCCATTCACCAGCACTGTCTTCGTCTTGAACTCCTTCCTTATGGTGTCGGCTGGGAGTCCGAACATGTCCACTTCCACATAAGTGCCTATCTTCTTGTCAGACAAAAATTGACCAGACACCACCTGCAAATAAGGAGTTTGTCAACATTTAGGCACGAGTTTAGAATCTTAGAACATAGCCAACAGACAGTTGGAAAAGAGTCAATGGACGCAATTTAAAAACAAAAACTCAACTTTCGAATTTATTGGATCAATAAATAATTTTTTTTCCGCCGGGAAATCTGAAAACTAAATTCTACTTTCAAAACTCGAAGTCGATCACGTTTTCGTGACCTTCACACTTGCAAAAGAAATCAAGTTAACTTGAAACGAAATCAAAGTCAAATCGCGAAAATCTATTGAAACGTCAAAAAAATCATCAACCTATTTAAGAAAAACCCTAGTTCTTAAATTGTCCCCAAGAAGAAGTCCCCTTAGCTTTGAGAAAAGACTTTACACTGAATCGCAGTTTATGATTCTAAATTTCGAACAAATTCCAACAGAAAAATGGAAAAGGGTCAATGAACGCAAAAACAGAAAAAAAATATTTGTCTTAAAAAATCAATTTTCGAATTTTCATGAAAAAATGATATGGCCCTAAATCTCATTGAAATATTTAAGATATTCAAGAACAATTTATGATCAAGAACTATTTGAGAAAACTGGCTCAATAGGTAAATTTTCGGATTCCGCTCAGAAGCCTGAAAATTAAAATCTATTTTCAAAACAAGAACTCGATCAAAATTTTTCAAGAACAATTCACGAACACTTTATGATCAAGAACAATGAGAAAAAAAGATCAGTACGTAAACTTTGTTATTCCGCTGGGAAAACTAAAAATTCATTTTTATTTTCGAACCTAGAAGTCAACCATGTTTTTCAAGAACAATTAATGATCAAGAACATTGAGAAAACTGGATCGATAGGTAATTTTTTTTAGTATTCTGTGGGGAAATTTGAAAATAAAATTCTATTTTCGAAGCTATACTCCGATCATGTTTTTCGTGGCCTTTATACTTTTACTGTTCGATAGTCGAGTTTGCTTTCCTTTTAAAAATGAAATGAACTGAACTTAAAAAGAAATCATCAGTCAAACCGCGAAAAATTAAATTTGAGTCTGAACAAAATTTAAGATTTTTCCTGAAACAACGTAAAAAAATAAAATCATCGCGACCTATATAAGAATCTGAACTACGTTCATCGACGATTAAAAAGTGGAGCTGGATAAAAATTGGCAAAAAAATTCCTTTTAGGGATCCGAAATGGCTGATGTGGCTTTCAACAAAGGTCAAAATATTTTTCAAATTATGACACACCAACCGTTACTGAACATGTAGCTGCTATCACGCCATCCACAGGCGCTTCTGCAAACGGGTCAAACCTCCTGTCTGACCTCCTTAAGAAATCCGGCTTCAACAGATACCCAGTCTGCCCATTATACTCAAACTTGCCCAGATTCAGCTGCATGGCTAGGTCATTAGTCTGGAAGTTTAGTGAGACTAGCTGGCATCCTACATTCCAGAACAGTTGGGGTTGGTAGTTGCTGGATTCTACTCGGCCGCCTTTGGGGTAGATCCGAGATAGCTGGCGTTTGTTGTAGCTATACAATATAAGAACTGTTCGCGGTTTAGGCAAATTTTCATTTTTTTTGGCTCAATACAACTGTAATTTGAAGTTTCGATCGGAAGTAAAGCTAATTTTTTGGTATTTGAACTTCAAGTCGGGGGTTTTAAAGGTAAAAATGTGTACTTTAAATTCGAAAAGAAAGACCGCGACAAAAATTGACAATTTGTAACTCTGAAATAGTAAATTCTTTTCTTACTTGACGAACTCTTGTGCGTCTTGTTTTAGTAGCTGCAGACCCACAGTTTCGTTGAAGGAACTCATGTGAAAGTGGATGTTCTTGGCTGAAACAAAAATCATTCTAAAAAACGGATCTAAAAACGGCAAAAATCAATGCTGTTATCGATAACTAGAAACAACCACGTGTCGTTGCTGCTGCTTTTTGATTAAGTTGATTTATGCACTGTCCAGCTGTTCTAACCTTATTTGGAAATGAAATGCTAATTCTTTATTTTTTTCTGGGCTGGGTAATGTTTCCTGAGACTACAGCAAAGAGCACAGATCATGGTTGGTCTCGAACCGCCGGCCATTTGATTGCTACGATCACTTATCACATTTAGTGAAGCATGAAATCACTCAATTGGCGTACGAAAACTAAGAAGAGTGCCAGAAAAACACGAGAAAACATTCTTTCTTTGAGACATTGTTAAACCTCTTCTCAATTAAACATTAAACTGAGTCTGAAAATGTCATCTGTGCCCTGTCTGCTCATTCTACTGTAGGCTGTCACAATCAACTAATTTAATTCCACTTGAGTGCATTGACGAGACCCCGAAACCCTACGGCTTAACTTTGCTCGTGTTCTAACCTTCCGAGGACTTGAAGTGTTGGAATTTGACAGGATGGCAGTAATTGACTAGACTGGACAACACAGGGTGTACATTGGTGGTGGCACTCACATACTGGTAGTTCTGCACCACTGTGTCGTCCACCACTCCGGAAGCAGCACCCCCCGGAACAACCCCAATCGGTGAGCTGTCCTGAAAAAAAAGTGGATTTATGAGCCAACAATAGATTAAAATGCTCAGCTCCTAGTCGGCATAAACATCTCATTTGACAGTTTCATCATGCTCTAGTTGCTTCTCAAGGACAAAGATTGTAATAGTATTAAGATCTCATTTTCTTATAATGTAATAGTATCAAGATCTCATTTTCTTATAATGTAATAGTATTAAGATCTGATTTTCCTATAATAAAATGGTATAGTAAAATTCTAACCTTCTTTTCAAGAAAGTCTTTCGAAAGTGTCGAAATTGACTTCTCTGCAATTGTTTTCCTCTCAGGGTGTGGTTCTTGGACTAAAACGCAAACAAACAAACATGAACAAACCGTAAACAAAATTTAGAAATCAAATTAGGATAAACAAAAAGCTACATCTAAACACAAGGAGAGCTACAAAAAACGTACACTTTATTGACTGACTACTTCGACTTTGAAGTTTCGATCAATTAGATAGTTTATATAATTATTTATATTTCAACAATCTAAACTCAATTTTTTCTCCAACCATTATATACAGATACCTTTTCCATTTAATATACAAGATATATTTTCCAATTACAGATACAGTTTCTATTTTTTTTCAAAGGGGTACAGATACCTTTTCCATTTAATATACAAGATATATTTTCCAATTACAGATACAGTTTCTATTTTTTTTCAAAGGGGTACAGTACAGTAAACACAAAGAGAAAAATGGCTCGGAATTAACATAAAGAAGAATCAGGCCCTACTGTAGTTTTTACTATACAATTTCCCCTTCACCCCTTCGCAAAGGGTGAAGTCAACAGGATAAAAAACACCTCGATTTGAACGTATATTTATGGAGGATCGACTAATTTAAAAAGGTATTTTTTTTACTACACATTTGAAGCGACGTTCAAATTAATCTATAATTGTTAACTAACTAAATTAAACAAGATCAAATATGAAACAAGTAGGCAATCAGATTAATTAACAAAAATTGTTTTCCACAATCACAAAATAAGCATGCAAAAACTATGTTGGAGTTCCTATGCTATTAAGAAAATATTTCAAATTTGGTTGATTATTTATCAAACTTAGTTTGTTAATCCCGGTTATTAGACTTGAAAGTGTTAATCCAATGCTACTTCTTTATTACATTATGGATTTATTAACTTCCTGGCTTTCATTTCAGACCAGATTTTCATGCCCAATATTCAGCCTTGGGTCATAATGTAGTCTGTTTTGCAAACATTAAGCAAACAAAATCAAGTTTGGTGTAAACAACATTTGCCCAAAATTTGAAAAATTCAGGCATATTTCCATAAAAACCAAAGCCAATTTTGCCCAGTTTGGACATCAGCGTACCAAATGTCTTCACACTTAGCGAACAATGAAAATATTGACTTCAGCTTTATTCGAGCTTTTGACTTTCAAGTCGCCAATAGCTAAACAACACAGTCAACAGAGAGTTAGAAAAGAGTAATGAACGCAAGTAAACAAAAATAGCTTTTTGAAAATTTCAACTTTCGCATTTTTGAAAAAATTTACGATTGGCACTTTTTATAGTAAATAAGAGTTAATCAATAATTAAAATTTACATTTCGCAGAGAAATCTGAAAATTAAATTCCACTTTCAAAACTAGAAGTCGATCATGTTTTCCGTGACTTTTATACTTTTGCTGTTCGATAGTGGAGTTTGACTTCCTTTTAACAAAGGAAATGAACTAAACTTCAAAAAAAAATCATAAGTCGAACCACGAAAAAGTAAATTTCAGCCTGAACAATTTTTAAGACTTTTCTGAACTACGTTCATCGACTCCTAATCATGACCAAAAACGTCAAACAATCATCGGATTGCTTTAAATAGAGATCCAAAACAATTAACGGAAAAAAAACAATGAAAAAGTAATGATAACGGACATTTTCGGTAGAAACAAAAAGTCACAACGAGAAAGAGGAAAGAACTCAGACAACGAATGAAGTGGGAGGTAGAGAATTCAGTAATAAAGAGAAAATATGTGAATTTTAAATCAAAAGATTTAGACTTAAGTGCATGTAGTATTATATCAAAAACGCTTTTTCGATAGTTGAAATAACCGTTTTTTTTTATAAAGACAAAGCTCATAAGCGTGTCTTTGTCTTGAAAATTAAGATTGCTGTAATTAGACACATTCCATGAATTTATACTGAAATTACGCCTGCCTATATTTCGATTTACTCCAAATTACATCAATTAAATACCAAGAAAACCCTTACCAAGAAAACCCGAAGCAGAGAATTCCTGAACTATCCAAGAAAGCAACTTCAATTTGGTTTATTACTACAAACTAACACAAAACTTTACATTCAGCTACAATTTACAGGAAACTAAATCCGGGTTAAAGGTTGACAGCTATTTAAAAGGATTTAACAGGAGTGATTTCTGATATCAAAAGGTCACATCGTGTAAACATTGAATGCATTGCTTTTTTTTCACGTCAAATACAAGCCAAGGAAAATATAAATCTAAGCACAAGTCAAGTCAAGCCAGCTAAGCAGAGCAATGTTAAGTACCATTCGCGGTCGATTTAACTGAAGCTTTCATCACACCAGAAGAAGAGCTTTTAGTTGACGCATTTAGAGGGTTCTGAGGCGTGCTTCCACTTGACACAGTCGCTCCTCTCACAATAGTTCCCGGATCCTGACCTTCCTTACTCAGTGACGTCGACAGTCTAAAGCTCTTGTTGCTCGAGCTTCCTGAAATACCTCCTGAAGATCCGCCTTTTTGTTTTTTAGTCAAGTTCCGAGCTCCAGATGCTGCCGATGATCCGGATCCTCCACTGGAGTTTGAGAGTTTTCCTGAAAGTCCTGACGATTCCCGCTCCTTGTTGAGCTTAGTTCCAGATTTACTCTTCGAGGACCCAGAAATTGCATGTTCTGAAGAATCACTCACAATACTTTTCACGGAATCCTTCCTTTCAAAATTCCCTCCTATTGACACTTTTTTGTTACCAGTTGAAACTTTTTCAGTGGCTCCTGAATTATCCTTCGGATTTTTTGGACTGTCCGCTTTATTAGTCGATGTTGCAACTTTAGTATTCGATGATTCCTTCTTTGTTGCCTTAACAGTTTGAGACGAAGCACTGGTTCCCCGGTTTTCTTTAATGTTAACTCCGCTGGTATTTTCTAATCCACTCAAGTTAGCTTGCAGTGCTTTACTTTGTGACGATTTTCTCGATCTCGGCGCACTGGTAACTTTAGCTATCTGCGCCATAACTATAACATCTTCCAATGTTTCGTTAGTGGGAGTGGGCGTTTCCGAGGAATGAGATTGATTGTTGCTAGGTGTAGACGTGGTTGTCGACGTTGTCGTTGGCTGAGTGCTGTCGCTAGTAGCGTTAGTGATCTGCTCACCCAGCTGAGGAGGATGCGAGGGAGCTGGGTGGGCCGAGGAGGGGGATGAGGAATTTGGGTTGTCTGTGCAATCTAGCAGCAGACCCGCATACTCACTACAGTCCTCAATATCCAACTCATCCTCCCCGTCCGAGCTGCTTTCTTCAAAATCAAACAAACACCAACTTATAGCTACTATGCTTGAGAATCATAACTAAACTGCTATTAACTTTTGGTTACTAAAATAAGTAACTATAGCTAATAAGCTGCCAGAAACAGTGTCTTTTTTCAGTTTGTTAGAACAAAAAACACAAAAATTGTTTAGAAAAAGTTTTTAGCGTGGAAATTGGTGATATACAGATATCAAATACTTCGGAATTTTTAATCTGCAAGTAACCAAAATACCCAAACTAGACAATGTTGTAATTTCAAACCTAATCAAGCTCTTTAGGTTCCGATTACATTTTTGGGTACCGAAAATGCCTAAACCTAAGCACAACCACCTGCTGGAAAAGCTAATATACTTTCTAACTTAGTTTATTCAGTTCACTTTACAGCAGACTTAGTTCAGGAAATTTCATCATTAAAATTTTGCATAACAAATCTTGAAATACCTCATTTTATCGATCCGGGTTGACTTGTGATTTCTTTACAAAATAACATTCAAAATGTGTTCAAAACCTATAGATACGAATAAATATTTGATAGCAACAAGTTACCATAATAATGAACAAAGAAAACATATAACATAGCCACAGACAGAAGGAGGAAAAATTCATGAACGAAAGGAAATAGAAAAAACTAGCGTGTAACGCACCTCCGGTGCTTCGAATTTTCAACAACTCAAAAAACTATATTTGAATTTACTCTGACAGCACCCAATTACAGGGTTCGTAATTAATAATTTCGCAAAGTTTTTTAATCAAGTTTTTTATACAAATTTTGAAGAAGCATAAAACTTCGTGAAGTTTTACATAAGTTCTTCGAAAAATTTAAAAAGAACTAAGAAACGACACTCCTGGGAAACTGTAAGCGATTGAGCAGTCGCATTTGGACGCAAGATTTGCAACTCCTGAGAGTACTCTTACAGTACTCAACTACAACGTTGGGAAACTCAAATTTTGAGAAACTTCACATTTTCACCTTAAGTTTTCTTAAAAAAAAGGTATTCACATCTCGAAAACACCAAAATTTGAGCAGTCTTTTTTGATGGCAATACTCATTATCTTTGAAAGTACCCAACTACAGGGTTGGGAATTTCACTTTACCGAATTATTTTGTAATTTGAGGTTTCTGAAAATTTCCAAAACAATCACAAAAATCGTCGTATCTCCTAAACAAAAATGATTTGGGCATTCTTAATTTGAGGCCAAATTTGCAACTCCTGAGATTACTCTGACAGCCCTCCACCTACAGGTTAGGAAACTCAAACTTTGAAAAAAAAATTTAATTTTCAAATATTTTTTGAAAAAAATCACAAAAAACTTCATATCTGGAAAACTACAAGGATTTGAGCAGTCAAATTGGGAGGAAAAACTCGCAACTCCTGAGAGTACCCTGACAGAGCCTCACTACAGAGATGAAAATTTCAAGTTTTCTGAAAATTTTTCGAAAAAAAAACCTTAAAAAAACGTCATATCTCGACAACTACAGGAATTTGAGCAGCCATAATCAGAGGCAAGATTCGCAAACCCCTGAGAGTACCCTCACAGATTCCAACAACAGGATTGAGATCTTCAAACTTTTGGAATTTTTTAACATTCAAGTTTTTTGAAAATTTCGGAGAAAATCATAAAAAACGTCATTACTCGAAAACTACAAGGAGTTGAGCAGTCATACTTGTCGGCAAAATTCGCAACTCTAGAGAGTACGCTGACAGAGTCTCAGTCTCATTACAGATATGGTAATTTCAAGTTTTGTAAAACTTTTTATATCTAAGTTTTCTGAAAAACTTTGAAAAAATCCACAAAAACGTCATATCTCGAACACTACAAGAATTTGAGCAGCCATAATCAGAGACATGAATCGCAACCCCTGAGAGTACCCTCACAATATCCAACAACAGGATTGAGATCTTCAACGTTTTGGAAAATTTAAACTCTAAGTTTTCGGAAATTTTTTGAAAAAATCATAAAAAACGTCATATCTCGAAAACTACAAGGATTGGAGGCAAGATTCGCAACCCCTGGGAGTAACCTGGAGGCAAGATTAACCTGGGAGAATTGGAGGCAAGATTCGCAACCCCTGGGAGTGACCTGACAGCACCTAACTACAGGGTAAGAATTTCAAAAAATGAGGAATTTTTCTAAATTAAATTTTCTAGAAATTTTAGAAAAATCTCAAAAATTGCCTATTTCGTAAGCTTAAAGGATTTGGTTATTCATAAATGGAGGCCAGAATCGCAAAACCTGGGAAAACTCTGACAATATCCTACTATTGGGTTGCTAATTTCAAACTTGATGAAATAAACACTAAAATTTAAAAACCTTAACAATTGCAATATACGATATAGCTTAAACGTGAAAAAATTCTTTTGTTAAACATGCAAAAATAATACGTTGAAAAATCTTAAACATGAAACATTGACGAGATAATGAAGCCCACATTTAAATATATAATACAAATAGATAATAGATGAAAATAAAAAAAATTAGGCGACGGTTAGACAGACATAATCAAACTAATTAAAAAAAGCAGGTATACAGACAGACGTATTTTGAGCCTCGATAAAAAATACTGAAAAATCAATGACCTTGCGGAAAACTAATTGAAAAATTTTCTTAAGCATTGCAATATATATCATATAGCTTGAACATGAAAAAATTCTTTCGTTAAACATGCAAACTTATTATGCTTAAACATGGGAGATAGCTATCACTCACATTTAAATATAGTATAGATATAGATAGATAGATAGATAGATAGATAGATAGATAGATAGAGAGAAAGATAGATAGATAGATAGATAGATAGATAGATAGATAGATAGATAGATAGATACTTATTTGTTATTTGAGAAAAAAAAATCAACTTCGAACTTCAACGAAAAAATATGTGGCCTTAAAGCTCTTTTAATTTCAAGAAAATTTATGATTGACACCTTTTTGATCCTGTGGAGTTAGTCCCTTCCTTTCAACAAAGGAAAAGAAGCGAAAGCGAACTTAAAAGCAACCAAAACCCAAACCGCGAGAGAGTATTTTTGAGCGCGAACATATTATAAGACTTTCCTGAAAAAAACCGAACAAAAATGATCGCGACCTATATAAGAGTATTTAACCTTCCGTTGTTTTACTGGCTAGAACAATTGGGTAGAATTAGCCTTCTATAGATAAAGAGCTGAACTATAGTATCATGGGTACCAGACAGGCAGAAAAAATCACTTGAAATTCGTTAACATTCCAAACATGAACCCACTACAAGCTTTCCTTCAGGTCGTCAAAATTGTTTAAAAAAATTCACCTTACATCATAATTCTGCCCAACATTTCTGTGAGGTTTTTTTTTGGAAAATTTGAAAATGATAAAGAAGTTTCACGCATCTTTTTAAATTAATCAATGAGCAGATTTGAAAATGACTCCTTGATCTTTCTTCACGGGGAAAGTGAACTTCAAGGAGTGGCAAGAACGGTTTTTAAAAAAGAAAAAAAAACGATAAACTCAAACCTAGCATGGCAAGCTAGCAGACAAAAAGAAGACGAAATCCACCGAACGGAAAAAATTATTTGAATTAAAAAAATGCGTCTCGACTTCAAGCTGAATAAAACATGCCTTTAAGTTCTATTGCCCTCATTTCAGTAACATTCAGACAAAATGTATCAAGCGGAAATTCAGCTGACAACAGTTAGGTAGACATCCGTTGAGCAGAAAACTAAATTTTAGTCACAAAAAAGGAACTAGAACGTTTTGAAACTCGAAGGAAGTTTTTTTTATCGCCCCACCCTGGAGCACACGCGCATTAAAATGTATTACAAACCTCCGAATGCCGCAACATGAAGTGTCTATGCCCATAAAAACCCAGGATGAAATTAATCCAGATTAAAATTTTTCAACAAATGAAGTTCGACACACGCAAACACTAAAGAGAAAACGACGAAAAAGCAACATTATAAAGTGAAGAAGAAAAGGTAAAACTAAGCCTTGAAATTTCAGACTTTTGCAGTGTCGGATTCGATCCTACAACTAGCAGATTCAGAATATCCTGCCCTCGCATCTGCGCCACGGGCTCCTGACAATTTACTATCACAAGCCATAAATGAGTCAGCTAGAGCCACAAATACAGCAGCAACATAAGCTAAAAAACTGCAAATGCTATGCAGCAAAAGTGGCACTAGATAAAAATAAACATAGCCAACTGACAGTTGGAAAAGAGTAAAGAACGCAAGGAAGCTGAAAAAAACGTTGTTTTTTTTCTCAAAAATCTTCAACTTTTGAATTGAGAATAAAAAATTAGATGACCTTAAAGCTCTTTAAATTTGTAGAACAATTTATGCTGGACAAATTTTTGTAAAAAGTGACCCAATTTGAGAAAATTCGGTCAAAAGGTAAAACTTTTATTTCACTGAGAAATCTGATTATCAATTTCCATTTTCGAAACTAGAAGTCGATCACGTTTTTCCTGACCTTTACAATTCTGCTGTTTGCTTTCCTTCTAACAATAGAAACACACTGAACTTAAAAAGAAATAACAAGTAAAGCCGCGAAAAATCAAAATCGAGCGTGAACAAATCTCAAGACTTTTTCTTGAAAAAAAAAAACAGTAAGACCTATATAAGAGTTTTCACTACGTTCTTACTCTTAAAAGAAAAAAGCAAGAGAGTTTTGAAAAAAAGACCTCTACGGAAATTGCCCCACATAACTATGCAAGTGAAGCTTATAGAAACTAAACATTAGTAGAAACTGCCACTACTAAGGAAAAAAAGTGCCACTGAAATGAGCACTTTTATTTGCGAGTAGTTGTCTTCGAAAAAAAGATCCTCCTAATAGAGGATAAAACACATGCTACCAATTAGATCGCGAAAGAAATTTATTACACAATTGTGCGACTTAGGCGGGAACAACTCAACTTCAACCTTTTGAGCTAGCGGAAAAAAGGAGCAACACCTCAAAAAAAAAGACAAATATCAACCAAATTGATCATCAGTTTGATTTTTACAAAAAAAAAGAAATTTCTTTGCTCGCACTCTACATATGTATCTACTGAAGTCAAATACTATTTAGGCAAGGGAAACCGAATTCTGTGCAATTAGCACAGAATGCTCTGACCACAGTCTAAAAAATGCCAATTAGTGGTTTTTTTCAAATTAGTGTCGTTTTCTGCGTGGTATGATAAAAGGATCTGAATGACTAAGAAAACAAACATAGCAAATTACAGTTGGAAAAGAGTAATGAAAGCAAGAAAACTGAACAAAAAATTGACTTGTCTTTTCTAAAACCTTCAACTTTTGAATTTCGAAGAAAAAATAGATGGCCTAAAAGCTCTTTGAATTTGAAGAACAATTTATGATGTGTTTTTTTGTTTAAATTAACCCGATGTGAGAAAACTGGATCAATAGGTAAAACTTTGATTTCACTGGGAAATCTGAAAATTAATTTCCATTTTCGAAATTAGAAGTCGATCACGTTTTTCGTGACCTTTACAATTTTGCTGTTCGATAGTGGAGTTTGCCTTTCTTTTAACAATGAAAATCCACTGAACTTAAAAAGAAATAACAAGTAAAACCGCGAAAAATCAAAATCGAGCGTGAACAAATCTTAAGACTTTTTCTTGAAAAAAAAAACAGTAAGACATATATAAGAGTTTTCATTACGTTCTTACTCTTAAAAGAAAAAAGCAAAAGAGTTTTGAAAAAAAAACCTCTACGGAAATTGCCCCACATAACAATGCAAGGGAAGCTTATAGAAAGTCAAACCGCAAAAAATCAAAATTCCGCGTAAGCAAACCATAAGACTTTTCCTAAAAAAAATCACCAAGAACTATATAAGAGTACTCACTACGTTCATTACGCTTAAAAATTAAAAAAATAATAAAAAAACTTTTTGAATTTTGAAGTTTTTAATTTCCAAATAGCGCTGAAAAAACTCAAAAAACAACTGTACTTCAGTAAAACTAAGTTTTCACGGCCTAAACTAAGCAAAAAATAAGCTATTGTAAGCCTTATTATTATTCGCTCGAAATTAGACTAAAAATCTGAAATTTTAAATCTGTTCTTTCTTAATACTAGAACAACTTTTTGGAAACTTTTTATGTCGTTCGAATCACGACTGAAAGGGCTTTAATTTGATATATCACTCAACCCAGTCCGACTATTATTTTTAGTACCTGATTTTGCCCTCCATAAACTAGCTTTACTTGCTTATAAGTTTTAACGTCTTAAATAAGGCATAATTCAGCTGTTGTAAGCCTGCTCGCTTGCTTTATTTGCTCGAGGACAAAAAATCAGAAATTTCAAACCGGTTTTTCTCGACAATAGAAAAAAATTCAGAATTTTTTATGTGGTTCGAATCACGACTGAAAGGGCTTTAATATGATATATCACTCAACCCAGTCCGACTATTATTTTTAGTACCTGATTTTGCGTGAAAAACAAAAGAAAAAAATTAAAACTCCCGAATACAAAGTTCCTTCACATTTTTAATGGTCGGAACAAAAACACACCCGAATACAAAGTTCCTCCCCAATAATTTTCATAAGTGATCAACTGAAAAAGTATCGTAAAATTTGATCACACGAGGGCAGCAAAAGCACCATCTTAAATTCATTCTGTCGTCAAGAGCCAAGTGAAAACGCAATACAAACTGAAATCACTTCAACCAAAAACGTCTCCTTAATGCCATTAAAACATGCAAAAATGCGCATTTAAAGCATTGGTAGATTTTTTATCATTATTACATTGCAGTATTTCACCCAACTCTTTTGTGTTAAGTCACTTCAACATTTATTCCAAATCACTTCACTTCTGGCGCTTAATGAGCTCGCCAAATTCTCCTAAATAGGATGTGACCTTTCAACATCATTTCAAATCAGCAATCAGTCAATTGTGAAAAGAAAAAAATAAATGAAAATGGGCATTTAGTTCCACAGACCAGCACATAGTAGCCATTTTGCATTTTAGTTTAAATTAAAGAAAGCAGTATAGTGGTATTGAAAGGTTGTGTTAGAGTAGAAAAGCAGGTTAGGTTCAAAAATGTAGTGATGGAAATAATATTAGTACCAATGGTGCATCGCTTAGTGAAATGGCACAGAACTGAATCAGTAATGGTGAATTTGAATTAGTTATTTTCAATTAAATGAGCTACAAATAGCTAGTTAGTAGTACTAACCATCATCTGCGTCTGGTTCAGCGTCGTCGAGTTCAATTTCAGCGCCCACTTGCAGTTCCTCTAATTGCTCTAAAAATAGCAAAAATTATTCTTCCAGAAATTGCACTGAATTTAGAAAAACCACCGAGGGAAAACTATATTCTAAACAAATCAATTGAGCTCTAGTTTTGCGTCAGAAATACGTCAGAAAAAGTGATAACTGTATCCGAAAATGGTCACAATCCAATACTGTATAAGATCAAGAGCTTTTTGACTGATTAAAGATTGAGCTTACTCGATTGATTAAATTTACACCCTTACAACAACTGGGTCTAGACTAAGAAAACGCTTGCTGATTAAAACGAAGCTTAAAATAGTTTCGCGTTATTAAAAAGAAGCCGAAAACTTAGATAACAAATGATTAAAATCCGACTGTAAATGAATGAGCTATAAATTCCAGTAAAAATAGGATCAACCGTACAATATACTCCCCCCCCCCCCATTCCTCTAGGTGACCTACTGTAGAATGTCCTCCCCAGCATGTATCATTTCTGAAAATTATTTCTGTATAAAATATGCATTTCATAAAAACGCGCAAAATAAAATTATTATGAAACTTTTTAAACTATATGTATTTTGATGGGCTACAAAATTAGTTAAATTGACGTTTTAATTATGTTTTGATAATTAAATCTGTTATGTAGGTGATACTACATTGTATTCTAAGTTATCTTGCAAAAAATTCGTACGGTTTGATCCAAAAAAATTATCGGTTAGGAATGAGAAACAATAGGTATCAGAATGACTGATTCACTAACTTTCTTCAACGTCCTTCTTCAGTCGTTTGTTCTTGATTAGGATTTTGTATTTCAGGCCATTCGGCGAAGGCAAATGCACGCCCGGCTCCAGCTAGAACAACATTTTACGCTACAACTACAACATAAAAACTACCAAACTTAATTTTCAAACTCACTATTTACGAAACAGCCAAAAAGGTAACAAGGATAGCCGGTTGATGGGCCAGAAGCAGAGAATGTTCCGATCATATTCTTTAAAAAAACTACATTTTATAAAAATAGCAACGTTTTTTGTTCGTGATGCGAAGAAAGGATCTGACGGAAGGCTAGAATTTAGGCATAACCGATAATCATAGTTAAAGAAGCATATTGGACGATCGTTTTTTCAAAAAATGGCAAGATAAAAATTTAAAAAATTTTAAAACTTTTTCAAGTTTTATTAAATCCTTGAATCTTTTTCACTCCCAAGATCGCACTAAAAAACTCCAAACTTTAATTTTACTGGGCTAAAACTAGAGTTTCAGGTCTCGAACAAAAGTTTAATATGTTCTACTTCTATCACAAACCTGCTCGCTTGCTTTATTCGCTCGAAATTAGAATAAAAATCACAAATCAAGAATTTCAACCAAGTGTTTCTCGATACTGAGAGAACTTTTAAATCTAGTTTAAGGCCGTTCAAAACACGACTAAAGGGTATTAATATGATTATTTGTGGTACCTGAATTTGCAGAGAAAACGAAAAACTAAAACAACTGAAGACAAAAACTCCTCCCCATTTTCAAGGGTCGGTAAACATTTTTCAAGAATTAGAGCTATATTGTGATCTATGCCAGTAAAAAAACCGTAAGTACAGTACGACGGATTTAACGATCTTTGTTAAAGTAGATTGTTGTTGAACGTAATGGCAAAAAAAGAACTTCAGCATCAAAAAAGTCCAAACAGTATCAAAAAAAGTCCAAAGGCCTGAAAAAAACTCAGAGCACGCGTTAATCACGCATCTTAGTTAAACTTAGTCAACAGACAGCTGTAAAAGAGTCATTGAACGCAAGGAAACAAGAAAAACTAGAGGCGAGCTAAAGCTGGAAATACCTGTTCAATAAATTTTGAAATTTTTGTATTGATGCGGAAGGACAAGGGTAATTTCAAAAACAGACCTATAGCAAAGAAAAGTAAATCCCAATTTAATGACCTCAAAATCTATTATTTTCATGAATTAGTTCAGTTTTCTTAAAAATTGAAGTGACTACAAGAGCTTTTTAGGTTGAATTATGCTCAAAACGTTGCTCAATAGATTTGAGTAGGTAGTTTTCGAGAGAAATCCCAAGTTTCAAAAAACAATATAAAATTTTCGAGAACTTGAATTTTACGAGGGTGATACCTTTTTGTGTAACAAAAATTGGGCGTAACCGCTAATACAGTGGACCTTTCCATCGAACTGTTCTTCACACTGAAACCAATATCTCAGTATCGGCAGGGTAGTTTTTGAGAAAAATCGAAAAGCTTCAAACAACGGTCAAAAATTGTAAATTTGACTTTTCTGAGGGTCATAACTTTTTGTATGAAAAAATTTGAGCGTGACCGCTAAAGCAGGGATGCTCTCCATAACCCGTCTGTTCGATAAAAACTAAAATCTCCGATTTGGACAGGTAGTTTTCGAGAACATAGAAAAAATCCAAAAACGTGGGTCAAAAATTCCCCGCATACACTTTTCCGAAGGCTGCAGAAAGTGGGGTAAGGTAAAAAACAGACTTGCGGAAAATGCAGGCACACAGATGAGTGGCCGGACTTCAATTGTTACTACTCTTTTGAAAATAGTTGGAGTATTTTTTGAGAAAAACGAAAACTTTCCAAAGCGTCTGAAATTGAAAATAATAAAAAAAAAATCGATCCCAATAACATTCATACAGCAAACTTAGCCAACAGACAGCTGTAAAAGAATCATTGAACGCAAAGAAACATAACAAAAATTGCTGAATTGTTTTTCGGAAAAACTTTAAACTTTCAAATTTCAAAGAAAAAATACATGGCTTTAAAGCTCTTTGAATTCCAACAAAAAATTTATAATTGAAAGGTTTCCCATAAAAAAAACCTATTCGATAAACTGGATCAAAGAGCTTAATTTTTTATTCTGCCGGCAAATCATAAAATTCAATTCCGCTTTCGAAACTAGAAGTCTTCCACGTTTTTTTCGCGCCATTTTGGCTTTCGTTTTTGGAGAGCACACTTTGCCTACGTCTTAGCAAATGAACTTGAATTGAAATCAAAAAGTGCACATAGATAATTGCTTTCATAACTACACAAATATGTATGAAAGCACTTCTATTAGCATTTAGAAACATTTTCCTGAAAAAAAATCACAATGACCTATATAAGTCCCTTCATTACGTTTAAAATGAAATCATCGTCTTGCCTAGAACACCGCAAAAAAGGAGAAAATTTCTTCAGATGAGTCAATTTCAAACTGCAAAACCTCATTAAAGATCAAAAATTTCGAAAATAGTTTTGTTTTAACTAACTGTCTGAAAGAATTACTTTCAGCTTGAAATCTTGAAAAATTCATTCGTGCACCGCACCGTGAATTCTATCAGACGAAACTACATCAGTAACACGCAGATGAAAAAGTGAATATCAAGCGACGAGTCTATTGAAACCCGCAATTTAAAAAATCAGTAGCTTCAAAAACAGCTTTAAGTTCAACTTCTTGAACAATTGGAACAAACTTTGTACACCGACTTTTTTTCAACACGAAAACTTATTGAAACTTTTCCATTACACCATGAATCACGACTAAAGGTCTTCATCAATCGAGTGATCATAACAAACATAGCCAATAGCCATTTGGAAAAGAAACATGAATGCAAGGCAAAAGAACAAACATACTTTTCAAAAACCTTCAACATTCGAATTTCAAAGAAAAAAACATATTTTTTGATAAAATTAACCCAATTTGAGAGAACTGGAACAACATAAAAAATTTATTCTGCTGGAAAATTAGAAGATAGGAGTACAATTTCTGAAATTGAAGTAGTCGTTCACATTTTTTCGCGCCATTTCAGCTTCGTTATTGGAGAGTGCAATTTACCTTAATTGTAGCAGATGAATTTGAATTGAACTTAAAACTCATACATACCAAAACCACTGCTCGTATCAAGTCAAAGCCTTAATTGCTGCTCCGATTGCCACTTAAATGGTCTCGAGAAGTTTTTGCAAAATTAAGTTTTGTCAAAACTATGAAATTTGATCATATTAAAACTTAAGTGTTATAATTTGAGTCGTGTATGGAATTAATAAAACCAATTAGCTGCCTCAATTCAATTTGGAACGATTTTGTAGAGCAGGATAATTCGCCACGCGTGTAAATGAAACGAGCAATTATTCAGACTCATGGCAGGGTACTAGTAGTGTGCATACACGGCAGGGCCCTTGCAGATCAAGATATCGATCCACCGAGGCAACAAAGTTTTTAAAATCCGTCTGAACAAAAAAACCACCCCGATCATATATATTCCTCTACTTGCTTTTTATATAAAATTCCCTTTACTTGTTTAGGTATTATTTCATATACCCACATTAATTCGGATGAGACAGTTGTGTAACGTCTGATATGTAATGTAACTAAAGTTTCGAGTCCTCTAAAACTTTTCAGAAATCAATTTGTTATAAATTTCCATTTATAAATTGTATAACTTTATTTTTTACTGAACAGTCTAGCAGTTTTCCTTTTGAAAGCTTGTCACATGAATTTCGCAATTAAACTCATAATGCAATGAGTGTTTTTAAAATAATGATTCGATTCTTCGCAGAAGAGACCTTTTCTAGCAAAAGATTCTGGCAACGATTTGGGTATAACCAAGCTGCGATGTATCGAACTGTTACATCTATGTGCCCGAGTTATAGCCCCGATGTTATTGTTCCCACCATTAAAAGAGGTGAAGAACTTCGTATTCGGGTGTTTTTTTTTACCGGTTTGAACATTTTGATTTTTCGTCTAAATTCGAGCGAGCGATCCGGTTTATTAAAGCTGGATATTCGCAGACTAGTTGTTAATAAGCAATGATCTTTTTAATCAAGAACTGAAAATTCCAGTAAAATAAGTCAGCGAAATTTTTTAGCGCCATTTTGGGAATAAAACTTCAAAAAATTCTGCAAAAAAAAATTTTTTAGTCATTTTTCGAAGAAAACTGTTTTCCAATATGCATCTTTTATTATAAATATCGGAAACGCCTGAAATCTAGTGTTTCGTTCAGATCCTTTCATCACATCACGCACAAAAAAAATAAATAACAAACTTTTTTGGTAGTTTTTTAAGGAAATGATCGGAAAATTCTGTGCTATTTGCACTGCAACCGCCGTGTGGATGTTGCTTTTTGCTATTTTATTAGGTTAAACAAACAATAGGCAGACTAACGGGGTGATCTTGGAGTGGCTGCTTTAAGAGATGGTCACCGAAGAAGTGTTCACAGTATTCTGCCATCTTCAGCTGATTCTTCTTGCTACAACATACAAACTCGACAGTCAGTCAGATTAGTGAAAATCACCTGGTTAGTGTTTCGATTCCCACCTAGATGCGACCACACAAAATTAATCTGACTCTTTATATTTTTAGGTTGACATTCTGCATTTATGAAATTGCAAGCACTATAGCAATATCCTCAATTGGTCAATCTACGTCTTCATTTAAAAGTAGAAATAAAACAGAAGAATGTGAATAAAAATAATGTGTGCACATAGATAGATGGGATGAGTCACCTGCAATGATTTTCGAAGGATAAAAGCAGTGGGTATGGAGTGGTGACGAACGCAGTCTCAGCTATGGCTTGGATCACATCCTGAAACAGCATCAACAATCATCAATCAACATGTGGTAATACTCAAGTGACTATTGTGACAGCAAAAATTTAATTCAATAATTTGACTCAACTTTTAGAATTTAAATGTCCTTTTTGAGATGCACGGTACCATGGTTTGAATGAAATGTTTCTTTTTAGAGTTAATTAAAAAAGAAAGAAAGAAAGAATTTATTTCTCCCATTTCAAGTTTTTATACAACATCGTCAAACATAATAAAGAAACAGTGAACTAAGGAGAGGATAGACAAAGGGCAAAGTAAATACCCACTGAGAGTCTACCAATGAAGTTTTTTGAGCAATTAGACTACTCAAGGCCACATTTATTGACACCAAATTAGCAGATACTCATCAGATAAATTAAATCTGTATTTCATCATCTGCACTTGAACACAACTAGCCTTGAAGTTGATATCCGAGCACATGGCTTTTCCGTGTGTGACTATGATCTCATTGGCTAGTTTGTTGTCCCAGCAGTCCAACTCCACACACCTGCACCCACCCAACAACACCTGTCTGTACATCTCCACCGAGGAGCGACCTCCAAACTGTCTTCCTAAAATAATTGTTCTCGTCAAAACTATCCGAAACAAGGAAAATCACTAAGTTTTTACAAAACAAGTTTCCACATTTAATAACAAACGCAAGTATGGAAGCTAAGCTGACAGAAAATCGCATGCATGTAAAAATGAAGCCGAAATTTGAAAACGAAGCACAGCGGTCAAGCTGTACTTCTTATCTGCAAACAAAAATGTCAAAAAAGAACAAAAAAAATACGGTTAAAACTTAAAAAGAAATTTTTGCAGAAGCGAGATCAAAGAAAGGGCCTTCGGGTTGCCATGATAAATTCAAAACTACAATAATAAGGCCAATTTACTCAATCTTTCATACATACTTCCGTAATATATACCAAGTAGCGATGAATGCACTTTAACTAATCAGATACATTTCTGTTATTGTTAAACAAACGCAAAATTTTGCATTAAAATTCATCAATGCAACATTTGGCTTCAGTTCCAAAAGAGATTTATTGTGAAATAACACAAGTACTGCCTAGGTAAATATACAGAAAATGCTAACATTGGCCGTAAGCAAAAAAAATAATGAACCTTTTAGATGAAACCATTTTTATAAAAACAATCGCCAGCCGACGAAATGAAAAAAAATAATAATAAACAAAGCCTAGGTTTTTTTATGTGAAAAAATTGAAAAAAAAACTTAAAAACCTATTTTTTTGATATAAATTACCTGATATAAATTCAAAACACTAAATCAGCAGATACTTTTCTGTTCCGCTATGAAACCGAAATTAAAAACTATTTTCGAAGCTAGAAGTCAATGTACTTTTTTCCACTTTTTCGTTTTTGGAGAGCATATATTCCTCCCTTTTAGCAAATGATTTGAATTGAAATAAAGAAAACAAGGTCAAAAAGCAAAAAAAGTCAAGCCGTTTGAGCGTTAACAACTTATAACAGAAAAAAACTTGCTGGAAACAAAATAAACCAACTCGACCTAAATAAGTGTCTTGACTTTGTTCAGAGACGCTTAATCATTCAGAGTTCGTTAGCATCAATGGAAACCTTGGGAAAACAGTAAATGCTGTATATTATTTGAACAGCAAAAAAAATATAAGCAACAAACAGTTGGAAAGAGTAAGTGAACATAAGTAAACAGAAAAAAAATATTGACTCATTTTTTTGAAAAATATCAACTTAAAGTTCTTTGCCCTTAAGTTCTTTGAGTTTCCAAAACAATGAAAGATTGACATTTTTTCAATTCAACTTTGAGAACACTGAATCAATATGTTAATTTTTATTCCGCTGGGAAATCTCAATATTAAATTCCAGTTCCAAAACCAAAAGTCGATCACGTTTTTGTGACCTTTATACTTTTCCTCTTCGATAAAGGAGTTTGCCTTCCTTTTAACGAAGGAAATGAACTGAACTTTAAAAAATCAAACCGCGAAAAGTTAAAATTGAGCCTGAACGAACTTTAAGACTTTTCCTTGAAAAAAAAACCAAAAAAAAACATCGCGACCAATATAAGAGACTGAGCAACGCTCATATACTCTTAAAAATCACCCGAGCTAATTACGGGTGAAAAATTTTCGATAGTCGGAACAAAGCTAAGAAATACTAACAATAGGATATCAAAATGAACATTCTAAAATCACCTGTGAGGTATGTGTTGTGTGATGAGTTGACATAGTAGTGTGATAATGGCTGGTCCATGTCTTGATAAACTTCCAGTTTGTCATGATGAATTGGCGCATTCTCGTCCGACATCAGATAGCACATCAGACCATCCGCAGACAGCTCGTCTAAACAGAAGAAACAGTTTCGAGAAAAAATTTATCTTTTAAATGAGAGTATTCAAGTAATCTTTTTTGAGACACTGATCAGAATTACCATATACAAGATATGGTAATCATTCGATTTAGCATCTCATAAAAGCTGAAAAAGATATTGATTCTCCAGTAAATTTTTGCACATAGACGGTTATCTTCAAATACCTAACTTCATTGATACTTTTAGGAAATTGGTTAAAAATCAATGATATGGGTTTATTCTTGTTCAGTTTACACAAGTTTTTTATATTTAGCTTATAAGTTTCGCTCTATTTAGCTTAAAAACTTCTAATTTGACTGGACTACGTAATGTAAGTTCAAAAGACTCACCTGTATTCTTGTACTGAGAGTGTGGCTCATATCTCTGAATGAGTGCCTTCACTTTGTCAGCTGTGTAGAAGGGGAACAGGATCTCATTCAGTCTGGGGTCTCTCTGGGTGGTGTTGAAGAACTCGATCAGTTTCGGCACCTGCAGTCCCATCGCAGTACCTCTATTCTGTTCACGCCAACTGCAACACAAATTAATAATATAATAATAATAGTTTGCGAACTAGAAAACCATGCATTGTGATATTCAGAACAGTTCCAATAAAAAAAAACAACTGGCGGGGCCGTTTTCAGCCCATTTTCTGTCGTCCCACAAAAAAACACTAGAAAATTCAATAGGTGGAGTAATATGGAGTAAAAACCCTTCATACCACGAAGATCGAAAGCCCGAAAACTATATTAGCCTTTCAAACTTCAGTATTCAAAAACCTCAACTGGGATTAAGTACGCGGATTGGTGGAAACTTTTCGCGCATTCGTTCCATCAGCTCTCCAAACTCAATTTTGAAACTCTGATTGTATAAATTGTTCTGAATATTGCTATCGAGGGGTTTTTGTTTGGAGTTGTTGGGTTCGGGGTACTCACAGTAGTTGGAATAGGTCTTTGATGTCGTTGCGTGGACAGAGTGCATGGTACAGCTGGTAGAACTTATCCCACGTCAGAAGACACACCTCGATCTCATCGTTCTAAAATGACACACAACACATCAGCTCAAACTGCTTTTGCTACTTTATGATGAAAATAAAACGACAAACTATATTTTTGAAATTTCAAGTACTGTGGCAAACAGAGGTTGCTTTCAGACTTTGCTGGCGCTTAAGCATTCATTTTCATCAATGCCTTTTCAAAACAACACAAAAATCTGCCAGCAGTTCTTAATGTTTGTTGAATTATACCAAAATATACGTATACTAAATTTTCGATCGAAGCTCCTTTAAAATGAAATCAAACAACTCTCCTTATTTTTCGGCGAAGCACAGAAAGCTCAAGAAAATCAAACAAAACCACTGAAATTTTTGAGCTCCCTCCCTTTTAACCATTTAGCACATGGACTGACTAGACACTCTGCTTCTATCTTCCTAGTGGAAAAAAATAGTTTACCTTTCCATTAGGAAGATTGAGTTCACCCATTATTTCCACGACTACCTTCTCGTTCTTCCCACTCGCAAATGTCTTCGTGATGCTCTTCACTGGGATATTCCCATTCACATTCACCATCAGCCGCAACTTCATCCAACTGCACAAACAATATATTTACTTTAATATTTAAAAAAATATAACTTTTATCTTAGTCGAGATATCCATTTTATCTATGTAGAATCCGAACTTTTTCCAGAATTCTTTTTTCTTAACTTTCGAGTAGAAAAAAAATCTAGACATTATTCAAGAGATATGCATGTGCGGCAATTAGCACTTCTTGAGAGTGTTCCATAGAGGAAGGAGCTTGCTAGTCATTCAGATCAACCTTTACAGCAAACTTACTGTTTGACTAATTGTGTCATGGGTCCGATGTTGTTAGCTTTGATGTTGTGGATGCACTTGCGTAGTCCTTCGATCCAAGTCTGGAAAATAAAAACTAATCTGGTCAAAGCTAAAGGGACTTTAAGGTCTAAAAACTGGATACATCTGATTTTGAATCTTCAACATAGATTGTCCCCCAAGTTTGCATCACGAGTGCTAATTAACAAAGAATTAGAAAATCAAGGAAGGATATCGAAAACAAAAATATTTAAATTGAAAGAAAAGCGATTTAAACTATAATTTTACCACTAAATTGTGGTCTATCCAAGGGTCGATTGTAGACTGACGTTAATAACATGATGTTAAGTTATGCCAAATTGTCAAAAACGGTGACAAAAAGCTTATAATTTTTTCGAGAATGGCACTGAGCATAACAACTTTGAGAATTGCTGAGCGATTAGTTCAAAATTTTCCGACTGGTATGTGTATGGTAGAAATTCAAAAACTATTTCGTATAAGAAATGAACTTTTTAGTGTCATTGTTGCCTTAGTTTCATTGCCTTAATTTTCTGTAGATTTGTTTAAGCCATAGGGAAATTAAAGAAGAAAATTAAACTCGAACTACATGGGCTGAAACTCAGTGACAGCAAGTTTGTTTGAATTTGAAAAAAAAATCAGGCCATTTTTTTTTACCGCGCACAACTTTTTCAAAAAAAATTTGGAATCCGAATCATGTAGAATACTCTTTAGTATGATAGCACTTTTGCAACCCTACAACCATTCTTTGAGGATGTCAAAACGCGTTAAAACACCCTTCGTCATAGTTTTTGTATACTTCTTTGTATGTTCTATGCTCGGAACAAAAAGAACTACATAAAAGTATTAACCATGACTGTCTGTTGGGAATCCATACAAAAGTACCAGTAGGTCAAATTCACAAAGTCCAGCCCACACACTACCACTAGCACCCTATCTTCGAAATATACTGATGACTGCTGTTGACCTCCTTGTGTATTCTGTGACCCCACGCCTCCCGATTGGAACCCGACTGCTGTGGATCCTAGTTGACTCATTACAGGGTTAACTAGGGCTGCTTTCACGTTCTGATTGTAACCTGAAGCAGTGATATCATCCTTTAAAACATTCATCTAAATCAGGGGCCGACTTAGGGGAAGGGGACTTAGGTGGGAGGGAGAAATGCGGACACCGAACCAGAGGGTCTTTCCTTTGTTATTTTTTTAAGATGTCCATTATTAATTATTACCTTAACTGAAAACATAGCGAACTAACAGTTGGAAAAATGTAAGGAAAAGGACACTAAAAATGTGATCAAATCTTTTCGAACATTTTTCAAAGTTTGATTTTCAAAGAAAATATATCACGATGAAGGTCTTTGAAATTCAGATACTGATTATAGAGGACACTTTTTTCCTGCAAAACTGTTTAATTTAGAGAAAACAGGATTCAAAGGTAATTTCTCAATTTAGCTGGGAATGTAGAAAACTAATTTGAAACTAGAAATCATTCACGTTTTTGAATTTAGCTTGAAAAGAAATCAAAAAGCAAACAGCGACAAATCAAATTTGATCAAGTTTTAAGACTCCTGAAAAAAAAACAAAAAAAATCAGTGAAACACTTCGTTCTTTTACATTTAAAATTGAATTACTACTAAAATGAATGCGGTAATTTTATTTGAATTTTCAGGGACTGAGAATGCGAGACTGCACGTGAAGATAACTGCACGTAATTCTAACAGGTTTGTATGAAAATTGTTTACGAAAAATTCTAGTTCTCTATTACAAGTACTCTTGCTGTCGCAAGTGAAATAAATCGATAATTGTATCGGCTTTCTTCCTATTAAGTAATTCAGGGGACTCCTAACTTCAAGTTACCTGAATTTATGGATCCTGATGTTCCAGAATTGCCACTTCCCGACATGCTATTCTGACTAGTCAACATTCCAGATTGTGAATTGCTGTTTCCGGAAGAGTTGTTGTTATTGCACATATTGGGGGCTCCAGGGAGGGATGAAAATGAGTTTGGAACTAAAGGGGGTTGTTGAGAGACGCTGAACTTTTCACGAAGGAGTTCTCCGAATTGACCTCTGGCGCCACGTCTCACATCACTTATTTGGCACGTCTCGATTGTTTGACCCTCCTGAAATATAACTTACCTGATTTTTATTTAAATTAGCATACGATGTTAATAGCATAATTTTCGTAGTACAAATCAAACCACCTGATTTAGTACTTTGACAGTCGCATGCGCTTATTGCTCTGTCAGAGACCTCATCAACAAAATATTGCAGCATTTCCAATTTTAGCCCACAGTAAGCCCGAAAAAAAACTAAAAGCTTAAATGCCTAGAAGTTTTACATAGCAGAAGTTTTAGAAGTAGGATGGTGTTACAATGGGAAAAAGTCCATGTACCTCATCAATTTCCCATTCAAAATCTTAAAATATATACCCATTTAAACAAAAAACAATGATTTCATTAAAAAGGCAGGAAACGCTGAATAAATACTAATTTGTGATTGTTTTGAATGACGTGACTTCAAAACAAGGTTAATTGGATCGGTTTTTAGCTGACAATGACAAATCGCCTTGTATTTAATTGATGCTTCAAGTTAAAACTGCAACCTTTATACGCCAATTTCATCAGAAATTACAGAACTTCGAAGCCAGGCTGAAAAACTTTCGTGTAACACTGTGAATAGATTCAAAATTTAACACGCCTAAACCAAAAAAAAACAATTACTTAAACAAAACAACACATTTAGCAATATTTTAAGCAATGTTTGTATAGCTATCAGGCACAATAATATTAGCACATAAAAGTTCGGTTATTCAACTTCTGTCAAAAAAAATCGTTGAAACTGAGCGCTCACGCCATAGAACAATTGACGACATGAAATAACGATCAAACAAAACGCGTCTTTTTTAAATCTTGATCATCGACCAAAAATAATCAAATCGCCACTCTTTAAAGCATTCAAAATAACTTTAAAACATTTACGTAAATCTACCAGACAGAAATCAAAGAAGCAGAAAAAAGACCTTTTATTAAAGAGTTTTCATTTCCAAATGTTTTGTAGAAAAAAAGATATCAAATTAAACTTTCTATGATTGACACTTTTTTTTGATAAAACTAACCTAAAATTGGTAAAATATTTATTCCGTTCGAAAATCAAAAAAATTAAAATCCAGTTTTGAATCTAAAAATCAACCACAATTTTTCACCCACAATGCGCAATTTGCCTGACATTTAATAATTGAATTTGAAGTTAACTGAAAAAATCAAAGAGAAACCGAAAAAAACAATGTTGAGAAAACATACTGTTTAAGATTTTCCCTGAAATTAAATGCAAGTTAACTGTCTTTACGTCGTTCATTTTAGTGGATTTCTTGAGTTTTTTCCATTTCAGTAAAACTTCTATAATTGGCAAAAATTTAAAACAGCTGACAGAATGTAGCAAGCCGTTAATCAACTCAAAAACCAAAAAAGTCCATTTTTTGTGTTTTTCGTACATTCAAATTTCATCGATCGAACCAACCACCACACTCTAACAAATCTCTTTCAATTTCAATTTTTACGATTGACACTATTTGATGACACTAACCCAATTTGGGAGAATCGGATTAATGGGGAGTTTGCCTATTCCGCTGGGAACTCTAAAAATTAAATCCATGACTGAAATAAAAGTTAAGCGCCATTTCCCCTTTGGTTCTCGGTGAGTGTAATTTGAGCTCCATTTCGTAAATGGATGTTGAACGCGAGCTTCAAAAACATCGAAACTCAAACTGTTTGAAAAAATTGAGCGTGGACAATCTTGAGAACTTTCTGGAAAAAAACACGGCCTGTAGAAACCCATCAAGAACCCAATTTCAGAAAACTTGATCCAGTTCCGCTATACAGTCTGATCCTGATTTTAATTACCATAGACGTTCTTACAGAGAGACGAAGTGGGAGCGCAGTACAACAATAACATAGCATGGTTAACTAGTCGGTAGAAAACTCCAAACTATGTATCAACATTTTCATGTCTCTTTCTAACTTTCATGTAGAAAAGCATGCCAAATTGCCTGTATTAAAAAATCATCGGATAAAATCTTACCAACCGGTAAAAAAAGCCAACAATACTTGGAAACAAAACACATGGAGCTGCAAAGAAAATGTTTTCATTGAAAAATTGACAACACATTAAAAAATTTTAGGTTGCCGTTCGAAACACAAAAGTAGAAGACACTTTTTACGCACATCAAATTCGCAATATGATGTGCAGAATGCGATATCACGTTAAATCATAAACTACACCGAAATGATTTCAGCCGAAAGCATTCAACTCGAACAAAAAATTAAAAACGCGATTTTACAATCCAAAAAGTCACACGATTTAAATTATTGGAAAATCATTCGCTAGTTCCACTCTACAAAAAGAGCATCAAATAGAAATGCACCGGATTTCTGAATCCAGTTCCGTAATCTGGAATTCCTGCAAACGTGACAGTTTATTCCGGTAAAATAAAGGAAAATTCCAGAATTTCGTAACAATTTTACTATATCCGACCGATAAACTAATTTTTAACACAGAGGCCAAGCAGCGCTTCGCAAACATCTGCAAGAAAACGACCAAAAAGCAGCTCTATCAAGTGAAATAGGAAAAAGTAGACCAAAAAGCAGCTCTATCTAGTGAAATAGGAAGAAGTAGAAATAAGCCTCGAATTAGCAAAAACTCGGCTACGCGGAAGATTCGAATCTGCGACCTACTGCAATCAAAAGATTTTGAGTCTCACGCACTATCCACTCAGCCACGCAAGCTTCACAACCGACAAACAATCGTCACAACAAAAGCAGCTACATATGCCAATAAATTTCCAGTGAGATTCAACGAAAGTGGCACCATATACAATTAGACTCGATTTTGCGAGTAATAATATGGAATATAACAAACTGAAGGCACCCAAACTAACTTTGCATGTAACAAATTGCTTGCAAGGCATAAAGCCACCATGTGTACAAATTATGCATTTTACAAAGTTGCAAGGTATATTGAGTTAGAAAACTTTTGAAATCGAGTTTTTAGCATTGATATTGTTTGAAACAAATCACTTTTTTCGGTTCATTTGATGAATTAAACATGCATCAACAATGTTAGCTTATTGCTATTCAAATGTCAAAGCACATGCTATGAAAAACTGTGAAGGTGCCCCAAAAGTAGCACCAATATTTGCGATTTAGGTAAGAAAAAAAGAAGGTTCGTAATAATACACTCGCTTAGCAAGTGTAAATACTTGCATTATTGATTCAAAAGTGAAATGTTTCACAAAAGCGAAGCTGCGCTTCGCAAGAACTAGCAAAAACACAACAAAAACAGAGCTTTCAGAAAGGAAATAAGAAAAGATACAAATAAGCCTCGAATGAGAAAAACGTATAGGCTTCAAAACTGCGACCTCGAGAATTGGAGTCTCACGCCCTGCACTCGACCAAAAACGCTTAACAACCGGCAAACACTAGCCACAAATAAAGCAGCTATGTATGCTAAGAAATTTCCAATGCGATGGAGCGAAAATGGCACCAAATACAAATAGACACAAATTTGCATGTAATAGTTTGGAATATAACAAACTGAAGGCATCCACACTAATTTGGAAGGAAAAAAATTGGAAAGCATAAAGCCACATTATATACAAATTACGCATTTCAAAAATTGTGAGATAAATCGAGTTAGAAAATTTCTAAAATCGAGTTTTTATGATTGTTATGTAGTTTGAAACAAATAGTTCTTTTTTTCCTTTTTTTTTCGGTTTAGTTTAGGAAAAATAGAAGTCGTAGTATAACAATAACGATCGCTTAAGTTCGCTAGTGTAATCATGGAGCAAAACAATTTTTACCGAAAACTCCAGAGTCAACCTGTTCCGTTTAACGTACATGACGTTGCTGCCCAAAGAACAGTGAAACAAGCTAGCCAACGTAAATCTATGCAATGAGTAGTTACTCATCGGCACCATAAACGAATTCCGAATTCCGTCTGTTGAAAACTCCGAAATCTCCGGTTTCAAATTCTGGCAAAAACAATTCGGTAACATCTCTAGTAAACAAACTGAAAAAAAAATAAGTTGAAATGGTAATTCTTTTTCAGCTTATTCGCCCTTCGCCTCGTTGGCCTTAACCGGCACAAAAATTCAGAGTTTTCAAATTCTCAAATGTTTCATTTTTGTCAAGTGTGTCTTTGAAAGATTTCATTTTTTAGCATCTTCTGTGCTGTATAAACAGTAATTAACCTAAGTGATTTTCAAAACACCAAAACAAATCAGCTCAAAAACTATGAATTTTCAAAAGCAATATACAAATACCAAAATTATATTTCAACTGCACAGAAGATGCTAAAAAATGAAACGTTTCGGAGACACTCCTAACAAAAATTTAATTCCGAGAATTTGAAAATTCTGATTATTTGTCCTGATGGTAGGCCAACAAGGCGAAGGGCCATCAAGTCGAAATTAAGATTACAATTTCAACAAGCCGAAATTTACGTTATTCTGATGTAATTTACGTTATTCTGACGTAATTTCGGCCTCAAGATATAGCGCTTTGTAGATATGGTGGTTTAGAGACAATCACTTTGTGCTATATATTATTTTTGACCATTTGTGCAATTATTGAACTAAGAATTTTCTCTGAAATTAATTTTCTTCTACAAGCATTTTGCCCCTCTTGAATTTCGAGGCACATTTCGCTCACACTCATTGAGGGACTTAGTGAGAGATACAAGAGTGAAAACGATAGAGGGTGAATCATTCGTGAATTATGTACATTGTCTATTAATCCTTTGCTCACGTGATTACTCACCCGACCGTCTCCCTTCCAGTTGAGGAAGAATCCATACTGGTCCACTCGCAGCACTGCATTCTGGTCGAACACGTCATAGTCCTACAAGAACAAGATTGAATACTTTAAAACTTTGAAAATTTGCAACACAAACTATCTGAATTTTTCAAAAAATCAATCAATTTTTGCATTTGAAGCGATATAAAATAGGGTAACTAAGCAGATAAAACATAAGCCTAAACCATTTAGGCCGAATAAAACTTTTCAGCGAAAAAAAAAAACAAAAGGAAAACCAAGCAAAATAAACAACGTCAGAGCTATTCATTTTACAAACTACCCGAGTAAATCAAAAACCGAGGATCTGCGATGAAACTCTTGCTGACAGCACAAGAAAATTCCCCGATTGGGCAACTAAGCCGACAAAAACTGTGTAATGGAAAAAATCTCTCCGATTACAATTCGACTTGTTCTAGCGAATCAGAAAACAATACAGAGCAACTATATTTTACTCGTTTCAAATTTAAAAGCGTAGTCTATAATGGCACAGAGAGCATCTCAAAATGTCTATCTTGAAAAACTGAACAAATTCGAAAAATCGGGTCAATGATTTACTTTTTCTCGTTTTGAACATTTGCGCAGAATAGCTTCACTAGCGCTTAGATTGACCACACGCAATTGCTTATGACTATTTGACATTCAATCACTGTTAGAAAATTGATGTCCTTTTCATCACAAGCGTAGTGGAACTAATTCATAAATGTGCCACTCATTATAATATATCACTTTATTTTGTTTTTACTTTTGATACAACATTTGTCAAAAATATGTCACAAAGAGAAAAAGTGTATTACAGGAATTTTTTAACCTCATAAATCTATAAAAAACAAGTATTGTTCAAAACGGTATTTTTTGACAATTTTGCACCTTCAATTAGTCAAACGAAAAACAATTTTCGTTTTCGTACTATCGTATCCAAACAATCTTGATATCCAAATATGATTTACACTGCGATTTCGTAGATCGGCGTAAAAATCGTTTTCAAGCCTCGAACGAGCATGTACGCTGAAATATCTTTCAAAGTAACTCAAAGCTTTTACCAATCTCGCTTAGCAATTCGGTCATACTTTCAGAGAGATTAAAAAAGAATAATAAATGAAATTGATTTAGATAGCTTGCAGCGATTCGCTAAACAAAAGTTTTTGAAAAAAAAAAACTGTTGGCTCACTAGATTCTAGAATCAAACAATTCATGCCATGAATTTATAATTTTTTTCCAGTGACTTTTAAGGATACAATTAGCTCAGTAAAGGTTGAAGTTTTTCAGCAAGCTATTCAATCGATGAAAATTCGAACAATTAAAATTGCTTTAATAGCTTTAACTGGCACATTGATTTTTTTTTAATTCGGAAGCAGAGCTTCGCGCCATTTGTGTTACAACACAAACAAATTAAGGCAAACTAGCAGACAGAAGAGACATCCACCAAACCGAAAAAAAAATTTGAACAACAGGAAAAAACATAGCCAACAGACATTTGGAAAAGTGTCAATGAACATAGTTTTTCTGGAAAGATATATTCAAGCGATGTTAACTTGAAAATTTAAGTTAGTTTCACAGCTTCAATTGATTTGCGAAAATTGAAATTCTTTTGAGCAAGGTATTTAAATGATAAACCTTGGAAGCACTGTCACAGCAAAATTCGTACAGATGGTTTTCAAGTGACAAAAATTTGAATGCCTTTCACGCAACTTGGGTTGCCCTGAGAGAAAAACTAAATCTTAGAGTTGCCTAGTAACAAGTTGCTTAGTAACGTAATATAATGAACAAAATCTTCAAACCTCCGTTTCTCCAAAATTATTTTTGTGTCCTAAAATATTCAAACCAATTTTGCTATTTGAGAACCGGTGGACTTTAAAGAACTTTTGTGACGAGCAATTTTTCTCTCAGTTAAACCCAAATCGCGTCGAACGAAATCAAAACTTCGTTGTTCCAAAACTGCAGCACGAATACTTCTGCTATATGCCTGCATATCAAGTGCTCTTGATAGCTTGGTTTGCTTCACGAAAGCTGGTATTTTCTTGAATCAAAACTTTATCAAAAAATTAGTTTTCACTTATGGTGTTTTAAACTTATGTGCTCAAATCTAGAAAACAACTGGACTTCAGATCTTCGTAATTTTAAACCAATAAACGGAGACATAAAATTACCGACAGGATACAACTGCAATCTACATATTCAACGAAAAACTGAAAAAATTTCATTTGCAAAATCATCAAATTTAATAATGGAATTCGTAATCAACTAATTTAAAGAACAAAGTAGAAATATCATAAAAGCTTAAACCTGGGAGCGATAGCGAAGTCCGCATTTGAATATACAATAGATAATAGATAGATCGATAGATTTAAATCTGAATTTGCGTTTTTAGTTCACTAATGTATAACAAGACTGCTCGTATCAGGGCAAAGCCCTGAATGTTCCGACTGCCTTTTAAAGTTTATGGAGCAGTAATAACATTTAAAAAAATTCAAATCTAATAAAAAAAATGAAATTTTTTTCTAAAACTTGAAATTTTTTGCGAAAATCATTGCCCCACACGCCATATGGAGTACAAAAAAGAGATTTTGCTCATTGTATCAAATCAATTATGACGAATAAGCTTCTTTCAACCAATTTGGAACGATTTCTTAGACGGATTAAATCTCCGCTTACACGTTAATAGCGCGAAATATATCGCGCGTTAATTGTCCCAAATTGGCCAAAATGGCAATCTTTAAACCCCCATAACTTTACGAAAAATGATCACAGGTACATTATCTTTTCAAATTTAAGCTCAGGACAACAATACCTTTTGAATGATATGAAAAAAATCTGTCAAAAATGGCTAGTTAAAAAGTCGAAATTTGTCTGAAGAAAAAAAACCACCCGGAGCACAAATATTCCGTTACCTTCGTATCGAAAGTCGGAACAATAAAGTCTTCAATACAGCCATTCACACTTATTAAATTCATTTTCAAGAAGGGAACAATTTGACAATGTTTTATGAAAATAATTATATGGAAAAATCCCATATTGGAAGAACACCAAAAAAACCAGTTAACTGCCTATCGAGTGGTTTCTTCAAGGTGCCGATAAAAAGTCCTCTTACTATCCAAGTAGAAAAAAATAACATGTCTTAAAGTCCGCGATTGCAAGTACACTTGCTTTCGCAAGTAAATAATAACGAGAACTAGAAAGTAATTGAGTTTATAGATAGTTTTCCGACTCAGAAAAAGAAAAAAAAATAAAGTCAATCGACAATTTAGAAGCTGTTATAACGAAACATTTCAAATTTCTTTCCGAATTATTGTAAATTTCTTTTCTACTCATTGGAAACTATTTGAAACATACTACAGCTCACTAGTCAATATTTCTTTGAAGGGATGGATCATAGAAAGATGGTATATTTACCTCTGCGACAGGAACTATTCGTTCAGCCCTCACTCCATCAATCAGAAACTGGGGCACTTTGGAGACCCAATTGGGGTCAATTGGCAAATTACTATGTGGGTCCACATTAATCACTTCCTCGCAACAACCTCCAGATTTTTGATCACACGTCCCGCCAGGTGACATAATTCGATCACTCAGTCTAACCAACTCGTTTGTTTCTTATTACGTAATACCAACTGAGGCGTGAAACAAACAATTATATTTTCCAATTAACTTCTGATGTGTGTGCCTCTTGTCAGTTTAGTCACATGGGTAGTAACAAAACTCTTTTGATAAATTTCACCTCAAAAGCGCAGTTTAATCAAATCAAAGTTGGCAAAGTAAGAATTCAGCATAGTTAGTGGTAAATAACGACCGAGGCCGTGAATTTTTACGCACTTGTATTTGAATTTTCCCCGTAATTGGGACTTATTTGAAATAAACTAGTAGAAAAATACTCATTTTGTCGATTTTTCATTTAATTGTAATGGGTTGTGACGTAAATGAAATCAATTAAATACTGGCGCCAGGTAATTAACATACAAGAAATGCAGTCGGTATCGAGTATAATGCATTTTGAAATTCAGAAGGTGGAATTCCAGTCAATTACGCGCGGGAGAATGAATGGTAATAGTATCGAATACAATTATATTAAAAATCAGTCAAACTGAATAGAGTTGACTTGGGTACAACATACAACACAGCTGAACCAAATTAATTTATCAGGGGACAATTTTTTGTTGAAATAAATTTGAGTTTTCCAATATTTATTGATATTTTCAAGTCTCTATTTTAACGATTAGAAGGAATTTTAGAAGATAACTGAGAAAAAGTATTGAAATATTCCGATTGAAATTGATTTAACTATCGTACAATAATCAACATCTGCATATCTGAAACAAAAAAAACAACTGATCTAAATCCAATTTCAAAAAACAGAAGTAAAGCTACAAATTACCAGCCTACCATTTAATTGAAACATAAGTTTGTTTAATAGAAATCAAGCCAGATTTCTTTTTTCAAACATCTTAACTCCCCGTTTCACATACTTATTTTGAAATAAGAGAAAAAATGACAGTCAATAACCGGCAGGATAAGACCGTCAAAAACGGGATAAACTCGAACGATCTCCTTTCATGCTGGTAAGTTCAATTGTAATTCATGCGGATGGAAACCGTTAATGAATTATTAAACAACCAAAGTGAATACATGAAACGGTTCATTTTCTTTAATCTGCAACGTCTAAGCTATATTACAAAAAAGTTCAAACTATCGCACAACGCAACACCCGATCAAACAGTGCAGCATATATAAGCGCATTCTTGATTTAAAGGAATGCCTCTAACGAAAGAAACATTAACCCATTTTGCCATCAACCCATTTACATTATCAATACATTTGCAAAAATGTGAAAACGAATGTTCGGTTTATTCAGTGTTGATACGTAAAGCCCTCTCAGTTCGGATAAGAACTTAAAAAATAAAAACAGTACGCACCATATCCATCTAATTAACTCCTCTAGTCGGCTAATTAAATGGTCCTCTTGGTTTCCAAAGAGAAGTACGCCAGTTGTTAAGACAGCAATTAATTCAACAAATGTTTCAATGTAAGTCCGCCGAAAAATTTGTTTAAACCCTAGTTTTTGAGATCGATGTAAGCCAAAAGTCTTCTGTAAACTTATTTTTTAGTCTTCTTAATGTCACCCTCATTACCTTATTCTTCACCTTTGCACCTGTCTTTAGATTCAATTAGTATGCAAAGGACACAATAAAATCACCTTGACGGAGGGGAAGGCGTTGTAATCAATACGTATTGTATCAATAGGCCGAATCTGATAGAAAGACAAACACTTTCTATAAACAGCAAACTCGCGAATATACAAAAAAGGAGGACTTAATAGATCAAAACTTGAGCAAACAAAAAAAGGCAAAAGAAAAAACGAAGTAAGGCCCTCGAAATTGCAAAAAAGTGATTAAGGCTGAAAAAAAGGTGTAAGTTTAAATCAAATTCACAAACATGTGAACAAATTTTATTTTAAATTTCACGCCAATTATTCTAATGGAATCAATTAATTTTTAATTGAAACCACGATTATCACTATTTGATTGCTTGGCAACATTCATAAAATCTTAGCGAAAAAAATCATTCTACAAAAAAAAACACTTCTCAAATTTGAACACAAGTTTTTGAAATGAGTACTTACTCAATGAACTATCATTCAAAGAGCTTGATTCGAAAAACAGGTGCCTTGTATTTACCTCTCAATTTGAAGCTAAGATCATAAACTCATATAGAATTAATAAGATTACAAAGTGAAATTGATCTCTTGTAGATTGTACATTTAATGCAACAAAAAACAGGTGGTTTAAGAGTAATCAACAACAAAATAGTCACCTTTGAAACGAACTTCTGAGGCACTTGAAACGAACTTCTAAGGCACAAATCAGTTCAATTAAACAAACATGGGACAAATAAATTGCAACTACTTTCAAACAAAGAAAAGAATGATTTTCTTCGCTTTGCCGAATTCTCTGAAACTACTGAAACTTCAGATTTCGACGTAATGAAAGATGGACGCTTCTAAAAGGATCCAACCAGATCAAAATTTGAAAAAAGAGTGTTTTGCGAGATATTTATGTCTGCTCAATCGGAGCTCATTGAGTGGTACTCTGAGTGAAGAAGAATCTTCATAAACAACAGAAATAGCATGGAAATTTGAACCCATAATCGTTTACCTAACACTAGCTTTATATTTAATTTACAAAAACGAGCAACAAAACGGCAATAAGCATTTGTGCCCGCAGCTTCTTTAAAATCTTGACATTTATGCCATCTGACATTGCTATAGACCAAATACCAGCCACCAACAAAGCGTATTAAACGAACGCAGATAAAACACATGAGCAGTGAACAAATACTCAAATTAAGCAGTTTTGTTGATCAATAATTCACGCAAGATCGCTTGGGGAGATTTTGACAGACCGTATAACACTACTTTAGCAAACTTGCTCATGTTAAAAATTTCTGATGACTAACTCCTACTAAGACCTAATAACAAAATTTCTCAAGAAGCGAAGGAGAGCTTCGCAGTTCTTGCGATACATCAAAACTTACCATGGCAAGCCAGTCGATAGAAACAATTTTGACTCCCCGAATCACAACACGCATGGAAATCTATCAGACCGCTACCAAGCCAAAACAAAATAGGCCAAGACCCTTAAGCGAAAAACCAATAAACAAAAAACGGAAACTATACAACATCGAAGCTTTTGAAACAAATTTTAACAGAGGCGAAGCCGAGCTTCGCACGACTTGCGATACAACTAGATCTACCAAAATGAATGAAAATAGTTTAGAATGCAATAGCAGCACCGAAAACTACACAAGCGGTAGCAAAGCCGAAAATATGAGCAGAAACTCATAGCCAAAATTTTTATTGAATTCATAACTAATTAAAAATGTTATAGTACCCCTTCCCCTACTAGCCCACAAAAGCACACAAAAACTTTATCGCTCATCAGACAACTCAAAAAGAGGCTACTAAGTTGATATATATAAAAAGCCAAAACCTATTAAGCTGAAAAAAAAACGAAACTTAAACAAGCTGAGTGGTAAAAAGGCAGCCAACTTGAAAAATGGGGACAGGAACATAAAAAGGGGACAGGAACACACTAATACACTAAGTCGATAAAAAATAGACCGAAATAATTTGGGCGCAATGAAATTTTCAATTGAAAAAAGAAAAAATGAAATACAAAGTCAAGAAAAATTACAACTAAAAAAAACACTGAAAACAACATTAACAAATGCGCGCATGAAAAAAACGATTCCAACATGTGCCAGCTTAGCCGAAAAAAGATAATTGGCAGACAGATAATTGGCCGACTGACATAATATTTCCCATTTTTCATCATTTCATTCTAAATTTAACAAAAAAAACTGAATGATAATACTGGCATGAGAGGCCAGCTAAGCATCCGCTAGTAGTAACCTGACATCATCAACCAAAATCTCGACAAATTCAATTTTAAAAATTAGTTATTTAAAATTACACTTTTGAAAATTTTCAAAAAAAGATAAAAAAACGTCATATCTGAAAAAGAAAGATGAGCTGAGCAGTCACAATTGGAGTCCAAACATACCGAGTGTACCTTGAGAACACCACGCCATAGTGTCGAGTATTTCAAATTTGGAAATTATTTGAGATCTTCAGAAAAATTTTGAAAAAAAACAAAAAAACGGCACATATCAGAAACTAAGATGATTTGAGCAATCAAACTTGTCGGCAAGATCTGCAACCCATGAGAGTGCCCAGAGAACGCCCCACAGTTGGGTTGGGAATTTCAAACTTAAACATTTTTTTTAATTCATTTTTTTGAAAACTTTGAAGAAACTTCAGATCTCGCAAAACGAAACCAATTGAGCAGTCAAATTTTCAGGCGAGATCCAGAATCCCAGAGAGTACTTCGACAGCACCTGACTACAGGGTTGGCAATTTCAAACTTTGTGATATTTTTCAAACCTACTTTTGAAATTTTCTGAAAAAAAAACATTAAAATGTCATATCTCGGAGCAAAAAAATTGAGCAGTCATATCTGGATGCAAAATTTGCAATGCCTGAGAGTACCCTGTTAGCAGCTCGCACTAAAGAGTTGAGAATTTCATTTTAAAAAAGTTTTTTATAGTTAAGTTATTATTTAAAAACTTGAAAAATCTCAAAAAACGTCTCATCTCGAAAGCTAAATGGATTTGAGCAGTCTTTGAAAACAAGATTTCCAACCACTGAGAGTACACTGACAGCGCCCAATTACAGTGTTGAGAAATTCAACGTTTGTCAAGTTTTTATATCTAATGTCTTCGAAAACTTTCGAAAAAATCATAAAACGTGATATCTCGGAAACTAAAAGAATTGGAGCAGTCATGTTTGGAGGCAAGATTTGCAACCCCTGATAGTACCCTTACAGCACTCATCTACAGGGTTGAGACTTTCAATTTGTGGAACTTTTTAATTCGTAGATTTATGAAAACTTTCGAAAAAACCACAAGAATCTTCGTATCTCATAAAACTAAAAAGATTTGGGTAATCATATTTGGAGGTCCAATTCGCAACCCCTAGCGTAACCCTGACAGCATCCCACTATTGGGTTTGAATATGGCAAAAAATACGCTGATCGCAAGCTGAAAAATTGAAAAAAAAATTGTGAGCATTGCAATATACGATATAGCTTAAACGTACAAAAACTCTTTCGTTAAACATGCAAAAATAATACCTTGAAAAAGCTTAAACATGGCGAGATAGCGAAGCCCGCATTTAAACATATAATAGATAGATTTCAAATAGGGGGCAAATTGAATGAAAACTTGCTAAAAATATCTGTTGGCTTAAAATATGTCTGTTGGCTGGAGTTAGCAAAATTTTTCAGTGATGCTGTTTGACCAATCATTTACCTGGATGATTTTCAAACCTGGATGATTTTAGCAAAATTTTTCAGTGATGCTGTTTGAAAAATCATTTACCTGGATTGCAAGCATTTCTTGGATTCCTATTAAATTCGAGAAGCTTTAACGATTACTTAAGCAAGTAAGTTACCAAAAAGTTGCTAAAGCAAGTACCCAATTTTGACAATTATCATCGTTGTCCTATTTAAAAGTTGAGATAGCATTACATTGATCTTCAAAATACAAGACACCAAAAATAATAACAAAAAGCCCTCATTTTTCACGCAAAGGTATATTAGTTGCCAAAACTTCGATGTCACTTAAAAGTATTTAGTGGAGGGCGACCGAGTAAGATGAAAAACTACAAAATTGAGAAGTTAAATCGCTCAAATAAACTTGAAGGAAATTTAATACGTAGAATAATGATAAAATTGAAGTAGAACGAGAGCCGCTCGTCAATTTTTGGGTAAATTAGTCTGAAAATTTGAAAAAAAATCGGATCCGTTTTCAGGACTCCGAGACAATTTTTTGATTTTTTAGAATCCTAGTCACAATAGGGCTTCAATATGATACCACACTTGACCCCGTACTAGCTTTCCTTGAGATAGCGAAATTGGCAGAAAAATTCAAATAACGAACCCTACGCCACAGTCCTTTCCCACTCATCATGTGAGGTTGTAAAGATAATAAAATCCACTTTCTCAAAAAAAAATTCGTTCTTCGCATTTAAGAGTAAAATCGAAAAGGCAGGAAAACTTGATTGAGGTAAATGTTAGGTTGAGCGGCTTGTCAATACACCAGCCTCTTGGACGTTTATGGACTCCTGTCAAAAAATCTGCAGGACTATTTAAGACAAAAAATGGTAATGCAAGGGCTCCGGTGATTAGATGCACACCATTGTAATTTGAAACATAGCCAACTGACACTTCGAAAAGAAAAAAGAACGCAAGAAAACAAAAAACTAACTTGTTTGGGAAAAAACCTCACTTTTTTGAATTTTTAAGAAGCTCTTTGAATTTGATAAACAGTTTATGATTGGAGCTTTTTCGATAAAATGAACCCAATTTGAGAAAACAGGATCAATAGGTAAAACTTTAATTCCGCTGGGAAATTTGAACATTGAAATCCACTTTCGAAACTAGAAGTCGATTTTCCGTGACCTTTAATTTTAGCTGTTCGATATGGAGTTGTCCTTCCTTTCAACAATGGAAACGAACAGATCTTACAAAGAAATCGAAAAACAGACCGCGAAAAATCTAAATTGAGCGTGAACAAATTTTCTTCAAAAAACACAAAAAAATGACCAAGGCCTATAAAAGAGTCTTCACTACGTTCATTACTCGGATCTACTTGAGAATCTCCCCAACGGAATCTATTTAAGATTTGCCACCCCAATTAATTAAAGCAGTAAATTAGTGCTAGAGCATTGTATTTAAAATTCGAACTTGGCTGCCTTCTGATTGATCGAACTTTCAACTAACTTAATCTACTTAACAATTACCCCCTTCTTAAAAGTGGGAGGGGGGGGGGTAATTGTTAATTAGATGCCATTACTCATACAAGTGATTTTTAAATTTCTTTCTTTGCAGTCCATGCAATACATCTTTGCAAAATGTAGTCGGCTTCATCAATCTCGGCAATTTTGATATACAGAACACCACTTTCCCAAACACCAAAACCCCAGGAAGAGACCACTTAGATCGAGATGAAAGATAAGAATTTACCTTGTCTGAGCAGATACACTTCAGTTGACGATGAGCTGCATTTTTGCAAACGACGGATTACTTGGCCGTAGTGAGAAACAAAACTTGAAGCCTTTAATCAATGATACATCTAGATTATTTCTAACCAGCAATTGGTTATAACGGAAGGACGCCTTAAGCTGTTTAAGCAGAAAGGGAAGCTACTAATATAATGCTGCTCAACAGTTTGACATGCAATTTATTGCAGACTGGAAGAAGGGGAAGGAAAAAATCAAGCCCGTCAGCAAAATGTCAACCCTGTGAGAAGAGATGGTTTAAAAACGTGAGAGTGGTGTAAATTAATGTGAAAACCCACTCTATTTCACCGCTGCCTCTCCTCTCCTGTCCTCTTCTCCATAGTACCAAGTGGTATAGTCACAGAGACAGAAGTGAACTATGTAACTATTAACATAACAGCAATTCAAATGCGGCAGCTATATACTATACTAACCTTAGACCACAAGTATTCCTTTAAATATTATGCTACTTGAGAAACACTTCATCATTGCAACTTATACACTACAACTCCACATAATTCGGTGATAAAATGGTCAGGAAAACCTCCATTTTTCGCAAGAACTGTAGTAGACAAATTACCGTTGCTGTACTTACTATGTGCTAATGGTGTAAAAAGAGGGACTTACCAATGTCCAAATGTGTACAATAGGCTGTCTTAATAAATGGTGATGATGGTTCAAGAAGCAATATCATTTAAAAACCCCAACTTGAAATAAAAGCGTGTAGAAATAATAATAAAAAGGACTATAGTGGGTAAAAGCGTACAATCTTACCGGTACGGGAGAGAGAGAGCGAGAGAGACAGAGAACCTTTTACTTCGCTCTATCCATGTGCTGAGCGGAATTATAAATTTTCAATGCTTAACTGAATATATTTGAGTAGATTCACCTTTATACTGGAAACGCACGCTTACCAAACTAATACACAGTTCGAAAACATCGCAAAAAGAAAACTAAATTAAATCAAATTTGAAATTAAAGTAACGCGTGCCCAGTGACATTTTCTTGACAATTCAAAGCTTATTTAAAAACTTTTCGGGCCAAAATGTGACAAAATACGCGGAAAAAATTCTGCCCTAGAAAAGAAAGCCTTGCGTAACAAAATAAAAATAACTCTTATATTTTGTAAGCACAAATGAAAGATTTAAGAACATCACATCGCGGAGCACTCTGCTTTGTGCTGCGTCGGTTGCTTGAAAACATATTAGCACTGACGGAAAAAAAATTTTAAAAAACTAAAAACGGGAAATGGCAGACAGAAAAAAGACAGTTTATCAGTTGACTGCGCAAACCACATCAACATTACACACGAGTTTGAAGATGTGTTGCAGAGTAGTAAGCCGACAATTTAGTGAACCGACAGTTCAGTCAGCAGAAACACTTTACAATTTTGAGTACTGGCTACCGCGCGAGCAATTAATACTTCAAAATCTTTTTAGTTGGAACTCAGTTTTACATTAAAATCCTTCAAAAAAACAGATTTTATTTGAATACTCTGGATTTGTAATTTGGGGTAATTTGAAAAAATCTATCGACATGTTTCAACTAAACATGTAGTTATTATTTTAGTCCGATCATACTCGACGTTTTTTCAAAATTGTCCGCTTAAAAACGGGTATTAAAAGAAAAATATCTGCTTATAGGCCGAACACCTTCAAGAAGACTACTTGGTTTTTAGGGCTGGGAGGGGGCTTAAGCCAAGTCATAAGGTAATTAGTTCTGATTTCAGGCATTGCGTAGATTGACAAAAGAGCAGCGGAATATAATTAATACCCAAATTCGCCTCGGTTCCATGACAACACTGCATTAGAACACATTACTTTATGCGCCAGAAAGCAATTAAATTTTGTAAATCAAAAAAGACATTCCTGCAAAAATTAAAACAGGCATGAAAATGAGAAACAAAATAATGAAACAGAAGAACAGAAAAGGAGATACCAGATTTTTTATGCGAGTTATCTTTTCATTTTGTATTATTACAGCTAATTCATCTTAAAGTGAATGGATTTCTCCCAGTATTGATATCGATAGACTTTGCAGGGGCCGAGGACCGTAAGTAAAAAGCAGTTCCACTGGTGAAACCAAAAGACCCGAGTAATATAATGCCTATGTAAAGTCGGCAACTTTCACATAAGCGAATGTAAGTCCAAGTCGAACAAGAAGTTTTCACGTTGATTCTGCAAGGAAAAAGAGATCACCACTTCGTCCGATCTTGGCTACATACGATATCAAATATGTGATTAACATACCTGCCTTAGAGCAGGGAAGAAAATTTTGCAGCACAATAAAACTGCACCACAAAGAGCTGCGCGCAATTTGCGATACGAGACAAACATAGCATGACAAATTGGTGGACAAAAGAATTTCAATTCATTTTGACATTCAGACATATTATGAGGCAACTGAACAGATATAACATAAGCCGATGGCAAGCCGAGAAAACTTCGAAGCAAAAATGAAAAAACAGAGTTGGTTTAAAACTAACTAAAAACTTCGAATTGAACGGTCATTTAAAATGCAGTCATTTTCAAAAAAATGTTTGCCAGACACTTCATCAGAACAGCCATGTTAACTTATTCAAGTGAATTGTTAACCTAGTTTTTAAACCAAGAAAAGTCTGTATTCCGATTTGATAACGCTAATCGCATGCATAATAAGCATCGCAACAATAATTTCCGAAGCTGTAACTAAGACCATAATACTTCTACCTGTCACTAATACCTCTTGTGCCAAAAAAAAAATGAAAATAAGACTAAGTCCCCTCTCTCAAAACACAAACACACTTTTCGACCACACTACGCCATGAGGGGTCACAAAACCGATATCAAATTAGCCAAAATCTTAAGAAACGATCAAATTTAAAAAAAAAACCAAATTTCAATAAATCGAACTTGATAAATTTACTAGCAACATGACAATTTTCGAATCTAAGGCAATACTTCACATTGAAAAAGTATTCAAACAAGAATCTCGTTGCAATTCATTTCTTGCCGCTTTCAATGAAGATGATATTAGTAGTAGCAGCAGTAGTAGGTCAGTCATTAGAGCTCTTGGCTCAAGCGTTTGCACCCACAGTTTTGGTCACTTAAATTTTCTGCATAGGATTGCAATTGCCACAATTGCAGATGATTCTCCATGTGCATGAGTTTATTTCACTATATCGTTCAAAAAAATTCCAGAAGATTTTAGTTAAAACCGGCTTCGTCAGCTCGCTAGTTTCGTAGTTTGTTTTCTTTGTAATGATGTTTAACAGTCTGCTGGACCTCTTCCAGAAATTTTCATCGGCTTTTTTTGTTCTTGTTTTTTCAATATTTATTTGATTACCGCTGGTTTGTCTTGTTTTGATGTCATTTCCAGGGTTGTTCTTTATTGATATGATTTTCTGATGTTATAGTTTCCTTGCATGATGGATAGTAAGAGTAGGGCATCGTGTAGTTCGAAGTGCATAGATAGAGGCAGGAGTTTTAGTTGTTTTAATCTATTGTTGTAATTTTCCCATATTCCAAGTATCCATGAGGTGGCCCGTTTTTGGATATTTTCAATATCCCTCATTTCACCTTTGTTTGCTGACCATGCCTGAGATGCGTATGCTATTACAGGGACTACATACCCTTTGTATGCGTCCAGTTTCATATATTTGTTTGCTAGTTCCGATACGTTGCGTTTTAGAAAATAGAAAGCTCTCCAGGCTTTGGAATATCTTTTATCACAATTTGCTTTCCAATTTAAGTTCGTCGCCATTATAATACCTAGATCTTTTTGTTCTTTTTTACAACTTAGGCGATTGGTATTTAGCGTCAAATGATCAATTTCGCATTTCGTGTGAATTGGTAGTATATAGCATTTATCACTATTGAGTTTCATTTCGTTGTCTGAGCACCATTTTTCTATTCTATTTATGTCTTCTTGTAGAGTACAAGGGCCAGTATTTGCAAGTTTGAAATCATCTGTATACCCAAAAGATTCGCTATTTTTAATTATAGTTGGTAAATCATTTATAAATAGGATAAATAATAGGGGTCTAATGATTGACCCTTGTGGCACACCACTAGTTACTGATGCTGTTGGGGAGCGCTTATAATTTATTTTCACATATTGTCCCCTGTTTGTTAAGTAACTTGCAATGAGTTTCACGAAGCTTTCGCCAATTCCAAATTGTGGTATTTTTTCAAATAATTTTTGGTGAGGAACGCTGTCAAATGCTCTACGAAAATCTAGGTAGAGAACACAAAGTTCCGTTTCAGTTGAAATGTCATATTTTTGGTACAGATGGTCAAGAAATTGTAGAAATTGAGTCATAACCGATCGCATTTTACAGAAACCGTGTTGGGCTTCATGCAAGTGTTTGTCTTTATTTGTGATCTGTTCGCGTCCTTGAAAATTGGGACTACTTCACTGATTTTCCAATAAATGGGGAAAAATCCTTTTGCTATTACAGTTTTGAAAACAAGATCTTTGAAAACAAGATGGCAAATCTTTTAGGATAAGATTTCCGATGTTGTCAGGGCCACAGGCTTTACTGGCATCAAGGTTCGAGAGAATTTGAACAATTTGTTTTTCTGTTATAACTAATTTATTATGGACATAGTTTTCGTAAATTAGATTTGCATTTAGTAGATAATCTCTGGTAAAGACACTGCAGAATAACTTATTGAAAAGCTTACTTTTTTTCATTATCATTGAAAGCTTGATTGTTTCCGAAAGACATAAGGTCAGGAAAACGAATGCCTTTGTGGGTTGATCGAAGATATTTTTGCAGTGCAGAAAACTTTTTTCCTTTGAAAAACTTTTCTTCATAGTCTGCTTGATCTTGTGTTAAGCTTTTGCGTAGCAGAGCTTCTTTCTTTTTTAGTTTTATGAAGCCGCTTAGATTGTTTCTGTTTTTCTGTTCGAGTCTACGGTTTAATGTGGAAATAACTTTTATTTGGTGTGATGTACTACTAGACACCCAAGGGGGGAGGTTCTTTCTCTGGCTTGTTACTCTGGGGACATTTTCTTCAATGATCTTGCAACGCCATTTACACTATTGTTTTACAAGCTCGTCAACATTACTATAACAGTACGGAAGAAATTGTTTATCTAATATACTTTTATTTATTGCATTCCAATCGGCTTTATGAAACGCAAACCGTTCATTTTGTATTGTATTGGTTACTTCCGTTTCAGTGTGAAACGTTTTAGTGCATGCTAAGTGATCGGATCTGAATGACTTGTTGAATTCTGTAAGACTTGTTTTGCGTGGTGTAGTTAAGTAAGACTTGGATTATTTGTCAAAAATATATCTAACTGTTTTCTATTGTTTTGGGATAAACATTCCTCAAAGTA